TCAAAATAAAATTTTAGGTAATTATTTATGATATTTGCGCGTGTAAATACTTCGTGATTTATGTCAATAAATAGTTTAGTTTAAGACCTCATAAAAATGAGTGAATATATTTTTATTTAACTCAAATAATCAATAGGAATGTAATTAGTATTTTTTCAACTATCAAATTGTTGCATGTATATTTTTATAATCTATCTACTTTATATTATCTGTGGTCACCCAATGGTCGAATCCCGATCAAATTTTTAATTTATCAATCAAACTTTGAGCTCTGTGCTATTATTTGGCATTTCTTATATAGTTTAATCGGTAGTATAAAATATGTATATCTTATTAATGTCATACAAATGTTTGTACATTGTTCAAACAAACTACATGATCTTTAATAGCACTAAAACCCACACATTTTCAGTTTTCTTCGAGATTTAATACAAAGTTCGCTACTCCAAATAACAAACGAATCATAATCAGTAGGTAACTCCTTAGATGTGATCGTAAAGTAATATAGACACCATAATATATCATGTACCTCCCATAATGAATCCCCTGTAACAATAGCAGCATGGAGCAACGTAAATAGCTCAGCTGGTTATGAAAATACTCGTGCTGAATATTTCTGTACCGCTGCGTAATGTGATACGGGATTCCGAACCAACGTACTGACTGGGGGAGTGTATTATGGACATTTGATATTATTATTATGTTATCTGTAAAACTGTGTTAGGTAGATTGTTATTTTATATAACATAACATTAAATCACGCTTATTATCCCCGAAGGAGTAGGCAGAGGTGCACATTATGCCATTGTACAATGTAACACCCAATAGTCAGTATTTGTTATGAGTCCTATGTAATAGGGGGTGAGCCTATTGCCATAGGTATATGGCAATAATGCAACATAACATAACATATATAAGTATGAAATGAAAGCATCTAGGTTTACATTATTAACCCTTCATTTTGTCGCAGATAAAGGCTCCGCCTCGACGTGCAGGAGAAGGAACGGGGTAGTTTTTAGTCAGTAAGAGTCTGACACTCCCTCCCGCCTCACCCAGGCGGGAGCAGTCATTCGATGATTTTACCTCCTTGAAAAACGAAAGACCAACCTACATGTCTAGACTGAATTGTCTCAATTTCAGAGATAAATAAAATAAATACTGGTAGTGAATGCTGAGCAAATGTCATAACACAGCTACACATGAACACTGAAAGACTACTTACTCAATTTAAAATTGTACTTAAATATCGTGCCATCTTTGTGATTTTACATTGAATTTGTAGTAGAAACTATACTTAAGTGACTTAAAATCGAGTGGTGTTTGAGTATTTGGACATTAGACCTCCATGTTTAACAAGATTTATTATCGACCATAATGAACATCTGTCGAACTATTACCATCTATTTTTGTTTTATTTATCCTCGGTGACGAACAACCTATGATGTCATATGTCGTTATTGTGTTTCTAAAAAAATGGTTATTAGCTCAAGCCCGCATTCATTGATGATCCCAGAGGATACCGGTGTTCTCTCTCACCCATTTTTATAATAAACCTAATTTCCAATATTTAAAGATTACTTTTCCTCGTTTTCCGAGTGGTCCCAAGTGCGACTGCTGGGCAAAGGGTCTCGGATTAGATTTCCGGATCGGGCAAAGTACTACTGGGTTGTAAAAAAAATCTCAGTAGGTAGTCAGCACGAAGTCTGGAATGGGGATGATGACAGGGTATGAAAATTAAAAATATAATTAGTCCGTAAGTTAGGTAATGAAAAAATATTAGACACGTATTTTTTTATTTTGTCGTATAATAAAACAATACTTAGATAAAACGAATCAAAGTTTAGGAGTGGGGGCTAAAACGTCATTACTTAGTATAAAATGTACTGAGAAGTGACGTCACGCGACATTTCAAATCAATATATCTTCGAAACTATTCGTTTCTGTGAGAAAATAAAAAATACGTGTCTAATGTTTTTAAATAATCTATCAGACGGACATTAAAATAAAAATTAGTCGTCTACCCCATTGTGCCCGGTATATGACATAAAAAGTGGGTGCCATAATGTGCACCTCTGCCTATCCCTTCGGAGATAAAGAACGTGATGTTATGTACTTTTGTATGAAATTTGGTAAATTATTATGGATTGTGTAATTATAGACTCATAGTATCTATATTCATCTCTAATTAACAATTTCGGGAATTGTATAAAGTTAGAAGAAGACAGGAAGAGCATCTAGCTTCGCTGACAAACAGACTGACGGACAATTCAATTTCGAAGTTTCAAAAGTGCCTAGTTAAGGATTAATTGAATGGACTTTGACTTGATATTTTTGTGTTCAATATTTTCATTTTGTTTAGTGATAAATGCCGCCTGTAAACACCGGAGGAATAGTGTCAGGGTATAAAAATTAAAATCTATTTAGTCCGTTAGTTAGATAATAAAAAACTATTAGACGCGTATTTTTTTTTATCGTATAAAGTTACAATACTTACACAAAATGGAGTTAAGTGTAGGAGTGCGAGGTCGTTACGTCACAAAGTACTACAAAATGTAGCACGTTGTGACGTCACACGATATTTCAAATTAATATTTTAGTCGAACGTATTTAATATTATGGGAAAAGAAAAAATACGTGTCTAATTGTTTAAATTAATCTACCAGACGGACATTAAAGTCAAATTTGAGAAATTACCCTATTTCACTTGTAATACCTATAAAAGTAAAGGAATTCCACTTATAATTCCTCTGGTGTTACCCGGAGGTTACCAGTATTACTACCAGGTAACTTATCACATAGAAAAATGCGTCCACATTCATTCACTCAGTATTAAAATAATTGGAATGCAAGGATTTGAGAACTGTTTATTGAATAATTGTGAAATTAAAATAATAAAAGGCTACAGCGTTCACAAACTCTCGTTCGAATTGTATAACAGTAAATAATTATGATTTTGTGCTGTGGCATAATTTATTTCAATAACTATTTTCAAATATAACAATATGCTATAAAAATCATATCTAAGAATCACCAATTTTATAAATTCAATTAATTATTATGTAGGTAAGGAAATTCTAAATTACAAATGCGCTGCACCAATTTTTTCTCAAATTCTCCAAACGTAAATACTTTTATCACATAATCAGCTGTTAACTGCAGCTGTAAGTTGGATCACGTCAAAATTTATTTAAATAGACAAAAATTTCTACACCAGACGTAGGTTTCACATTTCTATTCATTTTACACCCAATATCACATCTATATCTCAACAAAAAAATCATCAAAATCAATCCATCTCTTTCGACATACAATGTTAATAAACGATAAATCAACTTATGTACTTACATTAATGGCATAAATAACAAAATTGTCTAATGTAACAAAGTACCTAAACAAATAGTTTGTAAGATAATAGTAAAATAGGAACGATTAAATAAATACCAACAATGTATCAAAGAATAAATTGTTTAAATACTTCAATTATTCAAGTACCTAATTACCTCCTAAGATTAGGCTTTGCGCTCTATAAACAGTGCTTTGACATTTAACTATAGGTAACATAGATTAGCTTAAACAGACAACTAATATTGTGATTGGCAAAAAGGTACATAAAAATCTTTCTAAAACAGTCATTCAGCTAGTTTACTTAAGGTACATATTTTAACAACAACGCATTCACATTAAGGGCCTGTGCAGACGAGAGACTGATAACAAAAATCAATTCAGAATTTTTATTAACTAACGTGACACATACCTAAATTATTTAATTGAAAAACATATGCGGCAGACGCTTCTAATGAATATAAGCCCAGGTATGTCTTGAAACTACAGGCAAAAAACGGAGACACTGGCGTTTTTTTGTTCATTTTATCGTAACTTCTATGACTGACTGCACGGTTGGTGCGGTGGCTGAGCAACCGGCTGCCGTGCAACGTGTCGCGGGTTCGATTCCCGCACGGGACAACACTTTGTGTGATTCACAAATTGTTGTTTCGGGTCTGGGTGTCATTGTGTATGTGAACTTGTATGTTTGTAAACGCACCCACAACACAGGAGAAAATCCTAGTATGGATCAAAGTTTAAAAAAAAAACTTTATAAATAAAATTCATTTTGCAACGTAATTCTCTCATTTTAACGGTAACTAAATAATCTTTTATATACATAAGTTACCAATTAATCAGAAATACTTTTAGTTAGTTACATTTTTGTCAGGTAAGTATTTCATGTTATATTTAATTGAATAAATAAATAAATTTGTTACAGTAAAGTTAAAAGGATCTGTCTGTATTATCAAAAAGTCTCTCGTCTTTAAATATTGATAGAAACTGTGTGAAATTAACAATAATATTATACAGTTACGCGTATCACATTTATAGACAACACAACATCGATTAAATGCAAATATAATATTACAGAGTAGCTAATACGATACAACCTTTGTGCCTACTTGTGGAGAGCCTTTCAGAGGTTTGATCCCAGACATCCTCAACCGACCTAAACACCATCAAAATAATTAGTAACTGATTTATCTATTGGTGTATTTTTAAAGATAAAGATAGATATTCCAAATTATGTTTCTTTATGATCCCAAGGCCTCTGACAGATCGATGATTGTGAATGATCTATTATTTTAATATCTGACTTCAACAAAATAATCCGAACACATTATACAAATATACTTGATCATTCTTCATTCTCTAATTCATAAGAACACAACAATATAATATTGTAACTATGTAGGTATTTAAAATAAATACGTTTGAACCAATGAAATGGCAAACTCATATCTATCTATGTATATCAAAATCTCACTTTCATAAATGTGCATTATTTTCAAATACTTAACGACATAATTTTTATACAACAGCCATATAGATTTAAGTATAATAATTACAGTTAATATATTTTTATTTTACTGGCTAAAACTGATTTTAGGTCCATCATAATACATATACTGCGGGATCACTTGAAAGTCGAAATGATTGTTTATTCATACGAACCTGGATTCAGAATATCTTGTAAATAAAAGTTTTGTTTTCAATTGAAATAAAAACACTTTGAAAATAATCCGACATACCAAGTATTCGTTTTCCTTTTAAAGTTTGTTCCAAAATCAACTTTAGCCTGCGTATATCATCTACTTACGTCTACAGAATAAAATTTAAATAGGTGTAATAAACTACTTTTGTCTAACAACATAGTACGTATAAATCTATTTCAGCTAGCTACTTTGATGTCTACTTACACTTATAGTTCAGTTATATTACAAAAATACCCTACAACACTTAGTCTGATACAGTTTCCATACACACGAGTCACTTTACAACACTTATACACACGTATACTAATTCTTCTGTCATTGTGTCATGAGAACTGAGAGCGTCCAAGATAATGCTGCAAGAGTGAGTAGTCCGAGGCCGGCGGAGTCAGCACGGCCTCGCGATGCCTAGGTCTTTTTAGCCTGTTGCGGCCTTTTGAGCAAATGCAGAGGGTCTTTCCTATACCGCGCAAAAAGTTCCTTCTTGAAAGTCTCAAAATGCTTCCTATTGTTCTCATTTTGTTTCTCCCGCCACAACGGACGGTTCCTCCTCGTCTGTATCCCCCAGTGGATCGTGAAGATTGGGGATAGCACTTTGAATTGGTATCCAATTAAAACATCTCGTATACCTGGAAATAAAAGTCCAGTTTTTATTTCACCCAAATGTTTGTTTACAGTCAATAATAACTGTTAAATATTCTTAACATCATAATGTTTTGGATGGTTCCCAAAATATAATTGGAAACACGTGTAGTTCTACTGTTATTTATAAAAAATCAAACATTTTTTTCTGATGTGTGTTTACAGACCTATCTCACATAATAAGTATTTCGTCAACAAAACAAGAATGCAATTCTCCACAACGACTTTTATGTAATATAGTGCTTGCCTATCGTTTCAGCAGTTTGCTTGTTTTTGCAACGAGTGCAAAAATCGGAATAACGTAGAGCATATATTCAGCAAGCGAACAACATAATATCCAAAGTGTCGATTATGGAGAGGTGCCAAACGGGACCATTTGGCAGGCGGCGCAACAAATCTATCAGTACCAGCTCGGTGCGACGGGGGCTGGCTACATACTGATTAACTTGCGTTCAACTTGAATATTTTAAGTTTGCTTTTAACAAGTATTTTTACCATACTGTGGCTGTTTATTGTTTCGCACAATATAGCTAACAGATTACGAGAAATATGTACAGCACTTAAAATATGCCACAGGCGATTATTTGAAGCATTTCTTTGAATTGCATAGTTTTAAAATGCGGTTCCTATGTAAAACAGCAGTCGTTAAATGTTTTTCTCACCTGCGAGTTCCTCGTGAACCCGTAGCCAAGGAACCTCTCATCATGAGCGGGCACAGTATCTGACGCCAGGTAGAATGGCTCATACAGCAACTCGAAGTTCGTCACGTTGTGACTGATGTGCGCGAGTTCACTCTCGTTGCCACCACTGGCTTCCCACCTACAATATAAAAATACCTGAAGAATACATTCATTGCGTACTTTACTCTAGTAATACGCATAACATAAGTACTTCTACTAAGGAGCTGTATATGAATAAAGAATTAATAAGTCTAGATTCAAGCCTTAATCTACATTTTTAATAGCTTATACTAATTACCTATGATCTGTTGTACCTAACTATTAATAATTTTCATGACGAACTTACCGTGAAAAGTTCGAAGCGAACTGGTTATAAATAAACACTTTTCTGTGGAATGGTATCGCCAGTTTACTTCTAGAGAGCCTCACCAGCTCTGATTTATTAGCAGGAAACTTGGCAACTCTTCGATCCAACTCATATGTAGGCACCACGTACGCACAGAGCGGACACTTGGGTGAGCTGTCGAGAAACTGATTTAAGGCTTCTGCCATCCCTGTAGAAGGTACTATATCGATATCAACTAAGAAAACATAAGATGTGTGAGTATTCTTCCTCGCTAAGTTCCTCATGTGATTCTGAGGATACGGATGCCTCGCTCTCCAAGCCACGGTTTCGGCTTTTCGTTCCTCGTGCGGCAGAGGAATGACGTCACAATCCCTCGCCCACTTCGGCAGTGACCCGTCATTGTACCCTGGTTTCTCCGCAGGCATAATAATGTGTAAAGCTAGTCTTGAATAAATTTCTGGCTGGCATTTATACAACCATGTAGTGAAAGCTCTGAGCAGTCTCATTTCATCGCCGGCCACAAACACAGCCACTGAAATAGGGCCTGTCCAGTGCGCTGCGATTCTCAATAGCTCGTGGAGCCTCTCTATGGAGCTCTGCGTCGCAAGGCATACGTGGTAGTTAGTAGACATCTCGGAGTACAGCTCCCCGACTGCCACATTGTCGAATATCTTGTATGATCGACTACCATCCCACCTGCCTAACCTTAAGTCAAGTGTATAGATAGGATCATAATCTGCGCCAGCGCTGGAGACTTTGCCAAAGCACGGCTCGCAGGTGGGAGGCTCGGTCGGCGGGATCGTGGGGGGGATGGGGCAGGATGCAGGGTGCAGCAGCCAGAGGTTGGCGACCGCGTTGTATGCCACTAGCGCGGCCGCCGCTATCATCACCATACTCCATTGGAACCGCCAGTCCCGCTGTTGCAGAAAACATTGTTGAAACATAGGTATTTCAAACAGAATTTTAAAAATAATAATGTTTCTACAAAACTTACCCCTTTATTTCTTATTCCCATTTGTCTGCTTCAAAGTTTTCAGTTACGCACTGGGCAGTTATTTCAGCATCATCTAGATAACATCAGCATTTTATTCAGGTTCTTAGATGCAGGGGCGATAGATCTAGTAACAGAAATAATTGTACGAGTTAATCCAGGTGCACCTTACTTGCACAGATTACTTATGTGTTACCGGGGTGATCAAGAAATGTAGTACAAGCTTTTGCGTTTACCTACGTGTTTAATGTGGATAAGGTAATCTTTTTTAAATTTACCAAAAGTTTATCCATTAGGACCTAACTACCTATTAGTAATATCAGACTAGTTTTTGTTAGATAATATTATGTCAAAAACACAAAGGGGCATTCTAAAGCTATGCTTTATTAAAATGACGAAAATAAATAACAATAGCTTGGCTACAAACAAAACCAACTGCTGATCGGTTATCACATAATGGAAAAATAATTGATACCTAGGTACGTATTGACGTATTATTTCACTTTGTATTAGGTATAAAACACTGGCTTTATATTACCTCAGAATATAAAATCATTCTATTTTAATAATAGCAATTTTCCGATAAATATAAGTACATAGACAGGTGTCATGAAAATTAGTTGATAGGTACTTGGTAATATATGCAATGTGCAAAGAATTCTTTTTCAGAGTCATCACAAAGCGTAAAATGAGTAGGTAGGTATCTACAAATAAACGATCAATGAATTTACAACGTAAAGGACGGATCCTAACTGACAGTGGCGTAAGCGTAACTATAGGTACAGTTCGGGGCCCGTGTCAAATTCATTGGATAGGCCCCCGTTCTCATTAAAAAACAGAAAAGTTCAGATGAAAACCTCTGAACGAGCCCGTTCCAGCTAGGGCCCGTGGCATTTTGTCGACTTTCCATCCTGTAGTTGCGCCACTGGCCACTGATAATAAGTGACAATAAAATTATAATTTGACGTACAGAGAAACACTGTACATCTATCATTCTAAATTCTGATGCAGAAGTTTTGGTTAGTCCTGAGTGTGTTTAATTTTGTGCATCTGTTAAATATAACTTCGCGTAGGTAATGAGTTAAAGTACCTAAGTAACTAAAGGAAAACATGTTTCCAGTAGATATGTGTGTGTGACCAGTACATTCTCATTAAAGGAAAAAGACGATTAACATATCAACCGCTGCACTGCACTGGTTCTACGTTAGCGGCGGCATTGCTGTAATCGTTTGCTGTCGTAATACTCGTAATGAAAGGCTTAAAAAACATGCATAGATTGCTAACTATTTACTTAGAAAGAAAACAGAAGTAGTGATGTGATGACTTCTGATAGAAAGAATACAATCATGATAGATGAAAACAGAAGACTCAACGAACACCTGTCTGTCTTTGCCATTAAGAGCCACAATGTTAAAATTTTAGGAGATTAAAAGCACCTGCCAGTTTTAATTTAGCATAGGTACAGTATAAGTTTAATCTACTAAGTACACGGTTTATTCCACTTATTTATTTTTACGTTAATGAATAAACTGTATACTTAATTTAGACATTCGATCTCATTAACTTTTGAGGAAGAGTAATAATTTAAATATAACTACATAAACACGTCACACTCACACGCCGGTTGCTTTAAATATTTATCGCTATGCAGTATTTTGGTAACCTACAGTTTTGCATCAATGATAACCTTAAACACTTCGGTAGTGATAGTACCTAACTAATGAAACCTGCACGAAACGTCATATAATTTTCTATAATTCTGACATTTATTGCAGGTAGATCATTTAATGTATTTACAATTACTAAAACGCAACGAAAACGCATTGCGAAGCATCTATTTATTAGGTACCTACATGTAGACCTACATTCTGTGTAAAAAATCTAAATAATAATGTTCGCGCAGGTGCCACATTCCGAAAAAAATTAAGGGGCTCTATCTTACACAAATTACATCTCGGTACCCACTTACATCAGTTACTTACAGCGGTAATGAGAATGCTTACAGCAATTACATAAACATTGCGACACTATAAAACACCTTGTATTCACAAATGCACGTCACTATTACCACAACACACACTTAATTATTAAAAACAACTGCATTGTCTTTGAGGTTATTTATATTTATAAAAATGTACTAATTTATCAAATCACCAGCTACAATATAAATACGGTATTTCAAGGTAACAATTTTGTAAAAAACGTTTAGCTAGATTGTTTTATTTTTGTTTTAATTTCATAAATAACACAAACACAAAATTGAGGGTGGCGAGATTTGACCACATTCGCGCATGTCAGGGTTACGGACTTGCGCAGTATTCCCAGGGCACACGTAGGTAGGTACTGCAATCAGCAGAGTCCTATCAGTGGAACGTAGGTAGATAGGGAAGTAGAGATACACACATGTATGCGACAGAACTCAGAACAGAGACCACACAACTGATAGATTACAATACCTACTTGAATAATTCATACAATTACAACTCAGTGCTACTATCAGAATGAACCCTATCACCTTATGCACGTGACTTTACCGTTACTGGTATTTGGTACCTGACTAAAAAACAAGTCATATAATAAAACTATTGAATTAAGTAATTAACTATTAAAGTGTTGCTTAGAAACTTTATTATAATATGACTCCTCGGTATTTAGATTCTTATGGAACTGCGGACAACCTGTGCGGCATACTCAAACACCACTAAATTTTAAGACGTGTTCCGTCACTACAAATTCTTTTTAATGACAGAGATGGCACGATAGTTAAGTACAATTTAAAATTGGGTAGGTAGCCTTTCGGACGTAAGAGTCGGACACTCTGTCACCTCACCCAAAGCGAGAGAAATTATTTGATGATTATACCAGCACCTACCCCTTAAAAAAATAACGTATTTAGATTGTTACTCTTACCTAATTAATTACTCGATATGCCACGGTTGAATACATTGGAGTACCTACAGTTATATTGAAAACATAAAAGCAAATTTGTTTTTTTTTATGGAATCGGAGGCAAACGAACAGACGGATCACCTGATGGTAAGCGGTCAGCGCCGCCCATGGACACCCGCACAACACCAGAGGAGTCACAGGTGCGTTGCCGGCCTTTTAAAAAGGAATATGTTTATAATTAACTATGCAACTACAATTACATAACCTACCCACTTGCGTCTTCGCTTGTGCAACATGCAACATGACAACGTAACCCAGACGATATTGGAAGCAATTTTCCCCTATATACCTACGTGTCAAGTGTCAAGTGATCATGAAGTGAAGTCAAGTGATTTGAAGAGTGATTTCAACGCGAATTTTAACCACATCTAAATAAAGGAAGATAATTTTTCATTGATCTCTCGACTCTCACTCAGGTTCTTGTGATTGTAGTAGCTAGATAGGTAGGCACTATTGTGTTCGTCAAGTTATAATTTAATATCCACCTCACAAATCCATTTACCGGTTCCGTTGTGGGCGATAAATGGCAGTCACTTCACTCCACGATAAACACTGACAATCATTTGAATATACATAGTACAGAGTACAACGCCGATCCCTAAAATTAATTGGAAAATGGCCAATAGAAATAATTATTAGGCCTAGGTTCATCTTCACGTGGGAGGGCCATGCGGCGTCACGAATGAAACTCTCGACCTGATTGATACCAGTCTCGGAGGAAACCAGCGTGAAAAAATACTTGTGTTCTTCCGCCGTTGGGTGAGGTTACCGCAGGTCCAATCCTCTTGAAAACTAGACCTCAAAGACCCAGCAAATACTTGTACTCCTGAGATGTTGCTTGTCTCCATGATCAGCACCAATTGCTTACAACCAGACCAAGCGGTCTGTATGCCACCACGATATCCCATAAAATTTATGTTCTTTTATTTTGAATTATGTCCCTACCTACTTATTCCATTGACTGCACGGTTGGTGCGGTGGTTACGCGACTGGCTACCGCGCAACGTGTCGCGGGTTCAATTCCCGCACGGTTGTTCCATGCGGGAATCAAACCGGGAATGTTACATTGTAAGAATTATGTGCAAGTGACATGATGTGAGGTGATCTCTACCAGAAGGTACATCTCCTTTGGACGACAAAGGTGAGACGTTATGTTATGGTTAGGGCATGTAAAACCGGTTTTCCGGTTTTGCGCAAAACCGGAAATCGGCCAAAATTTTACGATTATTGAAAACCGGTTTTGAGAGCCAAAACCGGAGCTCAGCTCCGGTTTTCCCATTATTAAGTAACAATTAACATTTTGTTTTAATCAATTTTTTTTCAAACACTCTTACAAAAATAATTAATATTGAGGCCTTAAATGTATCCGAACCGAACACAGCCTGCATCCACCCATTTTCACGCCTCCCTCCACTACCCCCGCCTGATGCTTAACTAAATGAAGTGCATTTTCGTAGTCGATAAAACATATTATCAGCACGTCCATTTGCATTTCTCTGCATTTTTGAAGAGATGGAGATTCTGAGATCGTTGAGGGCGAATAAAGCTTCACGGGTGCCTACACCAGAATGAAATCCGAATTGGCTGTCTCCCATTGTTCGTCACACTTTACTCTTATTCTGTTCTGTATGATGTTTAAAACACTTTTAGGACTTCTCTCATTAGACTCATCATCTGGTACTCTCCATATTTTTGTTGCATTTTGTTTTTTGAGTATTGTAAAGAACGTAGACTTTACCAGTCATGTGAAGAATGCCAGTTTCCGTAAATGTTTGTGAAGAATTGGTCAAGTACTTCCTCCAATAGCTTGAGAATCTCGATGGGTAATATGGGTATGTTATCTGGTCACGTAATATCTCCGATTTTAAAATAGTTGGACCCGTGTCATCAGTAATTATTTGGATATTTCTTGATGGGTCTGCGAACATCTCCGAGCCTGCACCCCGCAGTTGATTATTGATCTCTTTTTAGTGCAATATGAATCATATTATAATAATATTATTTTGTAGTTTGTCTTCAAAGTTACAAAAATAATGTTTTTTTTGGTAATTGTGACTGGCTGTAGGCTGTATTTAATATTTAAAGATGCTACTTGTGTTTTCTATGTTTAAAATATATTATTTTTGATAGCAGACTTAATAGGTTCCAAAAGATACCAAAAACTTATTTGTGTTGATTTGATCTCAGTTAAATAATTTTATACTATTATAAGTTCATTGTTATCTGTAAAATTATTATGGTTTGGATGTAAAAGAAGTGAATCACACAATTTGTTTTATTTGTAGACTCAGTGGGTATTTAAAAAAACGGTTTTCTTTTTTAAATTAACTACATTGGATTTTTTTGATAAAACCGGACCTAGCTCCGGTTTTCGGTTTTGGTACCAAAAAAACGATGTTCAAAACCGGTTTTGATGACTTTCCGGTTTTACATGCCCTAGTTATGGTGTTATTGCGTTAATTTAATACTTATGTGATTTTGACAATTTTGACTATGATAACACGAGGTGCGTTCAAAAGTAATAAATGCTTTTCTTTCTTGCATGGCAATTAGAGTAGTGTTGTAAACAAAACGTAAATCAAATTCGATGCAAGAAGCTGTCAATATCAATTTTTGACACTGACAACTGCCTACGATGCCGCCATAATGTCATCGTAATCGTATTGCTTTGAGTTTTGCAATAGTTGACAGATCGTGGACTGTTGTAAACATAACCTAAATATTATTTTTATAATCAGGTGTTTTATTATTTAAGCTATATTAATGATGTTTAAAATACCAGCTTGGGAAGATGATGTCCCCAAAACTGATGCCATTGCCCTGCCAATTATGAAGAAAGTTAAGGTAAGCTGTACTTAAGATTCGATCAAAAATTAAACTACCGGAGTCCACATGTTTGTTGCTGCAGAAACCACAAATACTTTTAATTCATTAAGTTATGAAGCTTACATTTTTCTTCATCTCTCTAAATTTACTTATTAGTGTCATTCCCTTCGTTCCCCGAAACTTGAAGACCGTGATATAGCCCCCCAGCCGATTGCCTAACATTATTTATTTTCAGAAAAAAGCAAAATCTACAACAGACAACAATAAACAAACTAAAGTAGATAATAATGTTAAAGAAAAGAATGACAAAATCAAAGGCCAAATGGCAAATGGCCCTAAAAAGGCAGCACAAAAACGAAAGATTGAACAAAACACAACAAACAAAACGAAAAAAGATACAACACCAAATAAAAAGCGGAAAAAAATTGAGGAAGATGTTGAAATACCAGAATCACAGAACTTCGACGAAGTACTACTAAATGCTAAAAAGAAAAAGTTTAACCAAGTCATTGAAAATGATGACAAAGAAGATGTATTATTTACTGAAAAGAAACAGAAGAGTAATAAAAAGAAAAAGGTTAAAAATGGCATCGTTGATACAAAGGATAATAATTCAAACTCAAAGATAGTAAAAAATCTGAAAAGTGAGGGAAATAGTGAAGTTGTAGAAAATGTTGAACGTGTTGATAAGAAAAAAGCTAGATTTAAACAATTGTTAGATAAAACGAGTAGTCTTCGTAGACCTATTAACACAAGTAACACTGGGAACAAGCTGAGAGATAGAATGCTGGAGAGATTAAAAGGTATTGATCCTATAATTTTGTTTAATTTTACTAATGCTTATCTTAAATGGTGTAAATGTAAATAACTGTCCAGATCTAATTAGAAAAAATTTACTCCCATACATAAAATTATCAAATTTGGTCAGAAAAAGCTGATAGTAACAACAGCAAAAGTAACCTTTGATCTAAACACAATGTTACTTATAAATTTTTCTTTTCAGCTGCCCAATTCCGATATTTAAATGAGAAGCTGTACACATCATCAGGGTCTGAAGCCCAGCAGTTGTTCCAGAATGACCCAAATGCCTTTGAGACATACCACCAAGGATATCAGCTGCAAGTCAAGAAATGGCCCGTCAATCCACTCGATGTTATTATTAAGAAAATTATGAAAATGTAAGTTGGTTTTTAATTTAAGTGTTTGTTATGAATTGTGGACCGATGTCACCAATTTAGAACCAATGCCCAGATTTCAAGCTCACATGATAAATTTACAAACACTGAATAAACCCACTTACTTTTCTTTAATCATGCTTCTGCAAGGACATTAGTCCTTGCATACTTTAATGACTATAAAATATGACATCAACAATCTTGCCTCAATTTATGATAATATCACTCAGAAGCTTCCCTTTTTATCATCATAATGAAAAAAAAACCTTTTTGTTTTTAGGCCCAAAACCCATACCATAGCAGACTTAGGTTGTGGAGAAGCGGCATTGTCACGGCGAGTGCCTCACAAAGTGCGCTCCTTCGACCTGGTGGCCACTGCGCCGGGAGTGGAGGCCTGTGATATGGCACGGACACCACTACTGTCTGCCTCCATGGATGTCACTGTCTATTGCCTCGCTCTGATGGGCACTGACTTAACTCAGTATCTGCTTGAAGCTAACCGTGTGCTGAAAATGGGGTAAGTCCACTAAATCGATTATTAAAAACAAAATTTGTTCATACAAAAGTAATCTCTAAAGATCGGAAATAAGGTCTATAGGTGATGGAGTGAGTAGAGAGTGACGGGGTTGACGAAATTGGCACCGTATCTACAATCTCTTACTCACCATTTGGACTCAGTCATAACATACACTATGTACTGCTCAGTTATGACTACACAGTCTTTTCAGTTAGGATTTTCGAACCTAGTTTATGAAAATTTTGCTTTTAAGGTTTCAAATAGTCAACAATGTGTTCCTCACAAGTGCTTACTAGAAACTACATACCAATTTTGTACTGATCCCATCGCAATGATAAAAAACTTATTAAAAATGATCTTTCTTCTAACTAACATACAACATGCATTTTGTTTACAGAGGCCATCTTTTAATAGCTGAAGTAGAAAGTCGTTTCGATAAAGTGGAGGACTTTGCGAAGGAGGTGGAGAGACTTGGATTCAAACTGAAACAGTTGGATAAGAGCAATAAAGTATTCTACTTCATGGAGTTCACCAAGATCAGGGACCCGCCCGTGAAGAAGGCTAAACTACCAGCGTTAACGTTAAAACCATGTTTGTACAAAAGACGATGAATAAATCAAATTCATGATGAATAAGTTAAATATCTTTTAATACTTTTAAAACCCTTTACTGAGTTCTGTGATGTTTCTGTTAGAATCATATAAATATCATATATAGCAGCCGGCTAGCTAAATCAGACATTCAATTAACTACCTAGCTTTGTTATTTCCTCCTTTAACTCGTCGAGTACCGTATTTATAGACACAATTAAAGAACAATAGGTTGCGGTTACCGGTGACCGCTTGGTGTTTGACAGTTTAATGGAGCGACAAAAATAACAATAACATAAAATTCATGAAAATATTTTATTTAAATATCAAAAATAAATGCCATTACACCTCATTCATTTCCTTACATACTAAATATATTACAGACTTTAAATTACATAATATATCATGGCCGTATTATTTACAAAACATATCACATATTTTAATTGATTTTATTTGTGATCATTGATTTTACACTTTTTAGGCACAAAAATCACAGATTATATTTTTACTCAACTTATTTCATTCATTTAGACAACTAAAAAAATTACACAATATTTATTTAAATAGGTATAAATTGCACAAAACAAAATGAGTCTACTTATTAACTAATGCCCTTCCTTCGAGGGAAAAAAGGCGTGTTGTTTATGGCGTATGGTACAAAGCATATTTTTCATCAAGAATTAAGCTCGTCCATGACGTCTTCAGCTTCAGCCCGAAGATTTTCCACTTTTTCAATGAGTATCATCTACAAAAGATTTTATAATAACAATAATAAAAAAAACATAATAATTACATTATAGGTAGGTACAGCTACAAACACCAGCCCAAACAATATTTTTATTAAATCACATATTACTTTATTCCAAAAATGTAAATGCACGTGAATATTGTAAGTACTTATTAATATAATTGCAGAACCAACATAAAAGGTCATGTTCAGTAAAAAAACATGTTTTTTACTTTAAACCAAAGCAGTAAAGTTTAATGTAACAAATAAAGAAAGAAAGGAGTTTATTGCTGGCCTACCTACCTACATAATGGAAGTATAAATTGTCGTAAGTGTAACATAACCCTTGAGCCGGAGGATTAAGCGAGTTGTCGGGGTTCCGGCTTCAAGAGTAGAAGTAGGAATGGGGTGGTTGTAGTCAGTAAGAGACTGCACGGTTGGTGCGGTGTTCGATTCCCACACGCAGCAACTCTTTGTGTGGTCCGTAAATTGTTGATTCTGAGGTCTGAGTGTCATTGTGTATGTGAACTAGTATGTTTGTAAAAGTATCCACGACACAGTAGAAAATCGTAGGGTGGGGGTTTTTTTTTAAGGGGGGAAAATCATCGAATGACTGCTCCCGCCTGGGTGAGGCGGAAGGGAGTGTCAGACACGTCGTGTCGCACGTCGATTCGGAACTCCCGTCAAAAAGAAGTGTATGCGTACCCTGGCGGCGCTGACGAGCTGCGTGGCGGCGGCGCGCGAGAGATGCGGCAGGGCGCCGCACAGGTCGGCCGCGCCGGCGCGCGCCACGTCCTCCACGCGCCGGTACCCCGCGCGGGACAACTGCAGCGCGCGCGCCTGGGGAACGGAATGTTATGCTAATCATCTCAATTCCGGGGGGTAATCCTCGCCAGTCTCCCCAATCCTAGATTCCTTCACAATCCTCAAATCCCAATTCCCAAAAGGCCGGTAACACACTTATAACGGCTTGGTGTTTCAGGTATTCATGGGCGGTGCTAATTGCTTACCATCAGATGATATGAATGCTCGTTTGTCGACTTATACCATAAAAAAATATAATCAATGCTGCCTAATATTTAACTGACTTCCCATAACGAATTATTGTTTACCTATACCGAAGTTAAGAAGTTAATAAGCACCTAAACTTTTGTTGTAGGTAGGACTAGGTACTGAGTACAATGAATAATAATTACTTTTTGGTTTGTAGTTTGTAATTTTAAGTCTGTATATCCTCTTGTCTGTTGACAGTTGCGGCCATAATGTGTTTATACCGGGAGCCGGTGTTTCAATAGATAAGAGGCTATTTAAACGTAATTTTACTTTTTCATAGTAAATAATGAAACCATCGTCGTGGTCTCTAAGTATTTGAATTTTTGCTAGTATTATAATATAGGCAACAAAATCTATGAACCGACTAAACTAAACGTAAAAGGTCAAACTACAACACCAAAAGCATCGGTGTGCAATGTTCACTTTGTAAAAATATTGATATCTTTTCCTAAACTTCCATGCTATACTAGTTCGCGCAGAAACCTACGAATATTTACCAATCATTCCAAATTAAATATTAATATTCAACTGAATCTTCCATCCATCCACTTTGAGCCTGAATCAGATTCGGTACAATCTATTGCCAGAAAGTTCGGACGAAACAAAGTCAGTCACACAAACCTTCTTAACATTAGGCAAATCCATGAGCAGCGTGAGTTCCGGCGCGGCGGCGTGCTGCAGCCGCGGCGCCAGCTCGGCCAGCAGCGCGGCGGCCGCCCAGCGCGACTCCAGCGCCGCGCACAGCCGCGCGCCGCTCACCGCCGCGCTGCTCGCCGCCGCCAGCACGGCCTGCACCCTGCCGCGCGGCAAGTTGTACCTGACCGGGAGTGATCACGTGTTACTAGGGTAAATACTAGAGTTGCCACGAATAGTGATTTGACCGAATACCGAATATTCGGCAATGCTGTCGGCCGAAGCGCCGAATATTCGGCACTAAGTACATGTTAGTCGAGCGCGTAAACACTAATACGACAGGTTGCGACCTGTCTTCAACGTGCGCGGGCAGTGTGCGGTATTTCAAAACAAGTTTCCTAGATTTTGTTCAAGTAGAAACTAAGTTGTAATGATGAGTCTAGTACTACTGATGACGATTCTTCTCCACGTCGGAAGAAAAGAAACTTGAACGAAAATGATAAGACATTTGAAATACACGACCGTTTCTGGAACGGCTTTGAGGAAGTTGCTAAAGATAATATGCGAAATAGTAATGACGAGGAGAACGTGGAGAAGAATACTGTGGCAAATGAGATAGATTTTTATTTGAAATCATATCGCCTAGATCGGAAAGCTGATCCTTACAAGTGGTGGTCAGCAAATGAAAAACAATACCCAAACCTCTCGAAATTTTCTAAAGTTTATCTTTCTTTCTTCTCCCGGGAGTAGCGTGTATAGTGGGAGATCATTTTCTGAAGCTGGTACCATTTACGACGAAAAGCGTAATCGTTTGCTACCGTCAAATGCTGAAAAGCTTGTTTTTATCCATCACAACTTACCATTGATTAATTTTACTTATTAAAATATTGTAATTTGATAATAAATACACATCTTGATTAATATGATGTGTCTTTTTTTCCATGATTTGGTATTCGGTATTCGGCCGAATAGTAGGTACCTATTATTCGGCCGAATACCGAATACCAAACAAAGTGGCCGAATAGGCCGAATACCGAATAGTAGCCGAATATTCGTGGCATCTCTAGTAAATACGTCGCCCCCTTTTTATTTCTTTTTATTATTTTCTCAAAGTTAAATATTTATCATACATTTATTGTATTAATATTATAATGAGTTAAGTTCAAATAGTAGGATGTTGATAATATTTAAAACCAATTTTTATTGCTTATTTGGGAATATATGATATAAATTGCTCTCTGGAATTTGCTTTCTATTAAATCCATGTTTGTTGGTTTAACTGCTTTAAAAATATAAATGGTTGGTTGGTTAGTAAGATACCTAAAATATATCATAAATATCAGTAATATTTATCAGTTTTAATTTAAAACACCCTATACCCGGCTGACATTTGGGAAAAACGCGACCGACCACGGGCCTGATGATGACTTTAGAGTTTTTTCGTTATTGATGCATATAAGCCTTAAAACTTTTTCCTGATAATAGAAATGTCAACCTTAAATGCCTATAAACATGAACTACATATGTTGCAAGTTCATGGTACCAGAGCGATCAAAACACAGAAGCACCGTGAGGGGGCCGACATTTAGCGTATTTACTCTATACTTTTACTGCGTAATTATTGATGGGGCAAAGAGGACTTTAAACAGGTTTAGAAGAAGACCGCTGCGTACAAAAGTCATAGGTATATAGGTACAAAACACATTTATCAAGCAATGGCGTCTTTTGCTTAGGAACCAATACAAAACGACTGCAAGCGCGCGGGCGACGCGTTTTTTATTATTGACGTTATGAAATATGTCACACGCCATACGGTTTAAAGTTTATATTTAAATGAAAAATCGATTACTGGATTGTAGCGATGCCTGTTAACCGTGTTATGACGTTAAGCCTGTATATCTTTACGCACAGGAACACAAATAACATGCAGTTAAGTAAATAGTGCGCTATACGTAATAGAAATGTTACCCCTTTCCCCCTCCTAGTTCCCCCTCTGCAATTTACTGATTAAGTGACACTAATAAGTAAAAAAACTATTAACTACCTCAGTTTCTAGCCTATATGTCTGTCAAATATGTATAAGGATTTATACAACCACTTTAGTTAAACACATATTCATCGTCTATCGTTCAGTTTAGTAACTTACTTATGAGCCACGGTGGGAAAAGGAACTTGCTTCCACAAATCATGCAGCATCATGGCTAAGTAGAACCGACACAATACTCTCTCAGACACGTTCTGTAACACATAAAACATTATTATGAAAAGGTATTTCTTTGGCGGATTTTCAACTTTATTACAAGGTCATAGAGTTGAAAATCTGTGAAAAGTTAAGTTTTGACGGTTTGGCATAACTTGAAGTACGCAGAACAAGAAACGTCTAATAACAATAAAAAATGCTTACTGTAATAGGTTTCCCTGTCATCATACGGATAGCGTTTTGTTCAGTGATTCCTAATACTTTCGCAGTCTGAATACCTTCTTCGTCCAAAGCGGAATACTGAAAAAAAAAATCGATACAAAAAACATCAACGACGCTACATCACACCACATTGATGTCATAGGGCTCCGGTTGAGCTCGAAACTAGTTGAACTTCTGCGTAATGCAATGCAGTAAGCTATACGAACCCAAACAAAATATATTTTTTCGTTGACGATGCAGTTGCTGCATGCATGCACTTACCAAAGAATAATAATGAGCATAGTCCGGCTTAATGGATGCGGCATCTTGTGGCGTGACCAGATACAACAGATGTAGGCTCCCCATCACCACCAGGCTCTTGGAGGCTTGATCCAAGTCTACCAGGAACTGCTCTGCCGCTGTCAAGTCCATGCAAGCTACGAAAAATAAACATTTTAAGAATAAGCAGAAAAAATAATGTTTTTGAACTGTTTATAAGTAGAACTTAAAAATTGGCTGATAAAAACATTGGAGATATTTCTAATGAATGAATTTACTAAACTCTAGTTTAGACTTTAGATCGAACCAAATGTGGTCAAGATGTGGTCTCCACTGAACTGAACGTCAATTATGACAATTGAGGTTCAGTTTAGACCACATGCACCTTCAATTCAGCTAGATTAAACTATTTTTACAGTAGTTGGATTCAAAATGCTGAGAGTTGAGCTCAGGTGATAGACAGCAGCGTGTTATAGGAGAAACCTATTATGTTCAGCATTAGAAGTAAACAAAATAGGGACCTACCGATGACCAAGTCAACTTACCTTTAATAGCAGCACTGCCCAATGCGCTGACGGCCAGCTCAGTATCATTATACACGCGGCACTCCCGCACTGCTACATGCGACGTGTCCCCCTCACCCCGCTTCCCTTGTCCCCTGTCCCCCTTCGCCACCTCTAGTGCGCCGGATTGTAGGAGGGAGCGTAGTGTTTCATCCAGTAACGTATTTATATCTGACGGACTAATTAGGTGCAATTGTTATTGGATGGGACATGTTACTGCACCATGTGATTTCAATAGATCATTTAGGTTTGTTACTACAATATTTTGATTTTCAAATATTACATTTAAAAAATGTGGGTGTAAACTGTAGTTGACTTAGAACAGTGTAAAACGGAAGGAACTGATTTCAAAATGGCATTCTTAACAGATAATAACTGAGAGATAAGGAAGCTAAATGTGGATCGGCTAAGTGGTGACCTTTAAGTACCTAGGCTACTTTATCACAAATCAATTTCAGATATGAACAGTTACATTTTCCCTACCTGCAGGAATCGTCCCCAGTAACAGCGAGTAGCGTGCAGGCCAGGAACTCTCGCATGCGCGCGCGAGTACACGCCAGGCGCAGCGCTACACCGCTCAGTAGCAACCCTGACAGGGCCCCGCTGGGCAGGCCCCCGGGGCCCTGGGCCCCGCGACGCAGAGCACTGCGTGCCGCCGCCAGGCCCCCGCGTAGCACGGCTTGTAGTTGTGGCCATACACTCGCGCCACATATCACTATACTCTCACCTGAAATAAGAGAATTAATTAATCGTCCGTCATATTTTCCAAGAGCAAAACCGCACATAATGTTTGAATAAGTATTTCATGCTTCGTTTTCACATTCTTCTCCTTAAGCCAATTCTTCCTCGGTCCCTAAATCCCTAAGTAGTGTCTAAGTCCGATGTTTTATCGAATCATGTATTATATTCTATCCTTTACTGGTAACTTATAATATAGCATGTTACTCTCTTCAAAGCAGCTTACTCCTAATTGCAGTAATTTCTTTGCTACACGACTTGCGACCTAAACCTTAATCATAATACAGTTTAATTATACTGACCAGTATCACAAACCCCGGCGCGCCCGGCCCTGCCCACCATCTGCCGGTATGCCCCGAGCGTGAGGAAGTCCCTGCCGACGTGCGGCGCGCGGATGATGACGCGCTGCGCTGGCAGGTTGACGCCGGCAGCCAGGGTCGACGTACAGCATAATACTGATATTGTACCTGACCTACAGAGATCAAAATTATACAGGTAGGTACTTAACTATAGGAATGATGAACATAAGAAATCTATTTACTTTAACATGCATACTTTTTTCCGAAATAAATAAGCCTACTTAAATAAATAAACCTCAAGTTTCAATGGAGTCATGCGACATTTTGAGTTATTTTATCAACTATGTTTTTTATTCGGTTTGGTTACGTTATCAAAAACATAACAAAAACCAAAAAATATTTTTCTTGTTCTCCAAAATATGTACTGGTCAAAATTGAATTACAATTTTGTCGCCATACCTAACCTATTATCTCTTTATACTGACCTATAAGCTTGTTCCAGTAGCGACCGCTCGTCGCTTGCAAGTCCCGCGTGGTGGTAAGCGATGCCATACCTCACTGCTTGTGCAAGATCAGAATTTGCTCCCTCAGCCCTTAATGCACTTTCCAGCGCTTGCCGTTCAGCCGCTTTGTGTGATACCATCTCACTAAAAACAACAAAGAAAAAATACTTAAAAGCCTAACCACAAATTGGTTGAAAAACAATACTAAAAGTTCATCCACATCTCTTGAGCGTAATAACATTAACATGACGACTATACATTATACTGACCGTCTTTGTAACTTGCATAATAAGGTAGTGACGTTCTCACAGTTGCGCTTTGTTGGACAAAATACGAGGACAGAGCCTTTAGGTACCACCTCGGAGACCAGGCCGCCGATAAGATCAGGGTCTAAGGATGTTGCTGCTGCCGAGTACTGGAATAAAGTACCTCTAGTAAATGTTACATAGGAATAGTTGCACCAACGGAACTCTTATATTCGCCAAGTATGAGCCTAATTTGTACTAAGATCTTAAAAAAAAGCTAATCTTTTGCCTGATCCCAGATCGAATCCTCGAAACTAGCTTTGCAGCAGATTCGTTGCAAAGAAGACTAGAATATAGAGACTAACTAAAACAATACATAGACGAAAATACAGGTTCAGGGAACACTAAGGTAAGATTTTTTTATAAAGCTCGCGATTTTTCACAAATATAGCAAATGTCACTACATGTCTTATACTTACATTATAAGCAAGCGCCCTATCCGGTACAATCTCAACGCCCTCAGGTCCCCACACGATCTTGTGTAGCATGTCCCCCAATTTGACGTACTCCGTCAGCTCCACCGGACGGAACTGTCGTTGAAACACGTCGGCTCGGAGGAACTGTGCGATCTCGTGTAGATTGCCTATTGTTGCACTCATGCCCACTATTTGAATGTCCTCTGATAAGAGAAAATGATATATAAGTGGATATATTATTCTTTGACCGATTTTAGATTTTATTAATAAGTGTTAACTCGTCGAGTACCGGTTTTATAGACACAATTAAAGAACAATAGGTCGCGGTCACCGGTGACCGCTTGGTGTTTGACAGTTTAAAGTTAAGAGTCTATTAACGAAATGCGATGAATTGATTTACATATACATTCCATTGGTAAATGGCGCTTACTGTTGGTAAAAATGACAGTCGTTAATAATGTTTCCAACGTTCCGCCACGTCCACTCTCGCCAATTAAATGTAGTTCGTCTACCTACAAAATGTACAAGACTTGGTTATTAAATCAATAATTAATATGTTACAAAAATCATATTTCTAAAGCTATATCTCGTTATCATTTCTACCTTTAGGAAGAGGCAATTTGTTTTTAAGTAAGTGCACCCACAAGGATGGGCCAGACATTTATTGGCTGGTTATCACACAAACATTCAGAAGTTAAAAAATTTAAAATCTTACCACAATAAGTCCAATTTCATGCAATCTATCCAGCTCAATCAAACTCCTGACTAAAGCCAGGCCTTTTTCAATAGTTGCTATGTAAATGCTGTTCTTTTTCCGTCTCTTTTTAGGTGGTATGTGACCCTTGCCTGCTGCATATTCTTCAACTAGAAAGTCTAGTTGAACAGCAAATGTTGATAAAGCCCAGATCTAAAATTACAATACAAAAACTTACTATTTCATTAGTGTGCACCAGTGGCTTCAAATAAACATCAGTATGTTTCGGGTTTCCTGTATTTATAGCACCATCTCGGAAAACTTTACATCACTCTTTTATGCCTGGTTTCAAAATTGAAAATGTTATTCTCAAGTTCTTATTAGTTACTCTTTTGGGATGCGGACCAATCACCGAAACCCAGGCATACATTCATAAATACATGGTGGCTTACACTTGAATCCAATTCCGATCGATCGACATTGGTTTTGTGAACTTTCGTACTCTTGAGTTGCAACACTAGCGCCCATTGAATCAATATTGAATCAACTAAATGGTATTGAGTTTGGTTTTATATTCCGTACTCTGATAGCTATTTTAACAGCTACAATAAGGGTTGTATAGTTTTGACATTGAATAATTATTGAGATTTTATTGGATTGAAATTGCATTGACATTGAGATTGGTTTCAAGAGTAAGCACCCTGATCTGCACTTATTGAACTATAAATGAAATAACTAACAAGATTTATATTTACAACTTAGTTCAATACATGATTATCTGATACTAGCTTCAGCCACATTCGCATGGGATAGATAGTAGCCTATGTGTTATACTCTAGTATAACACATTTCATCCCAATCCCTTAAGCCGATTTCATGTAAAAGAGGAACAAACAAACTTTTGCATTTACAATAGTAGGATGTTTAAGTGTCTTACCTTTTCCTGAACGATGGCCACAAATGGCAGTATGAACAAGGCATTCTTCTTTCTGTTCAGTACTTCCCTCAGCATGAGCACCTCGGCCACTAGGGTCTTACCCCCACTTGTTGGCAGAGCATAAATCAAGTTGCGCCTTTCATGTATTGCTTCCAAGTTCAAACATTCTTCTTGCCACTCTAAATTATTTAAAAAAGAAGCATTTTATTAAGTTTAATAATGGAATATTAAGTTTATGATAAAACTTATATTACTTACCATAAAATTTCTCTATGTTCCTATAAGTTTTAAACAATCCTTTAGCAATCATTGGCAAACCATAAAAACTGTTCTCCACTTTAAATTCTTCTTTTTTGTTGATGTTTAGATTAGACTGTATGTGTTGAGTAGGATCTTCCTTCACATCAAGTAAGAATGAGTCTCTAGTTTCAAATAATAAACTTTTGTTCTTCATTATTTCATCTAGATTACTTATTGATTGATTTACCATATCAAAACTCTTTTCAATATTATCCGTGAATTTCTTGTCAATCTCTTTTATGTGAGATTGATCTAATTTCGATTGAAACATGTCATCTGAAATATCTTCTATAAATTCTGATAATACTTGATTATTTCTGTCTTCAGTACTTATTTCATCAATTTCATTTATATGACTAGTACATATGTTTAATGACTCCCATTCGTTTCCAACTGAAGCCGGTAACACATCCGGGGAGGGTGGAATATCACAAATTGAACTATTGTTTTCCGAATCACAAATACTTCGAAATTCTACTTGGTTACATGGCAGAAGCGGAGAATCACATCTTTCTGTGGTATTGTTCTCGACATCGTTATGTTTAGGAATCATTACTGGACTAAAGCCCATTAGTAAATCATTGTTTTGCTTACTTTTGTTCAGACTGGAGCGAAATATTCTTCCAGTGCCCATTCGTCGGCGTTTTGGTGTTGAAGTGTCTTTTATGTTATCTAAGGAAGTCATTGTAATGTGTTTTTTAAGATAGTTTTGAATTAATTTATTCAACAAGTGATTTTTTATTTACATATTTTGATATTTTCTGATCAAAACACAAACGTAAACATAACCTAACCAAAAAGTGACAACGACAAACTTCTGTCTGTCACGTAATGTAATCCCGTTTACACAGATTACAAAAATTTCTTTGGAGACTCGGTTGCTAAAGGAGAAAAAAAATACCATAAAAGTTTATTTTTAAATAAGATATTCCACTTTATACCTTTTTACTTTACGCACTTTAGAACTTTAGAAATTTTACAATTTTATCCCTGAAGGTACAATGTAACACCCACTTTTCACTATTTATGTTATGAGTCCCATGTAATAGGGGGTGAGCCTATTGCCATATACCGGGCACATTTCCAGACTCCGTGCTCCGTAATCTCAGTGGTAACTGAGATTTTTAAAAACCCAGTAATACTTAGCCCGACCCGGGAATCGAACCCGAGACCCCTTGCCTGGCAGTCACACTTGCGACCACTCGGCCAACGAGGCAGTCAATTTAGAATGATTTGGTACAAAAATTTCCTCATAAATTGTATTATGATAAACGTACGTCCTTCCAGCTCCACAATCCAGCCTTTACGGACTTCTTGATGGATTCGCACTCGATACAACTCTTTTGAATATAATAGGAGGATGGCAAACCACCAGACTTGATGTGAAGCACGCGACGCCCATGGATACTACACCAAGTTACAAGTGCGATACCAGTCTTTAGAGGAACATTTTGGTAACCAAGTCATCATCATCACTCATTCGGTAAAACAATATGACTTTAATAGGGTGAGAATGTAAGATTGCATTGATAGGTTGCTAGAGTCTGGTCAACGAACTGTCCAAACAAAATGGTTCAAGTTGAACATTGCAATTGAAGTTCCCCGAAAAATAGGTAAAAAAGTAAATATGGGTACATACCCAGGTCAACCAGGGTGATCTGAGCAGTATCTAGTACTTAGTAACACTCAACTTAATCTCTGCTTCCTACACTCTACTTAAGTACTAATTTTAGGTTTTTTTCTGCTCTCCGTCCGTAGGGATTAGTAGGGTGCTATTTCGCATGTTAAGATACTTTTGTTATACATCGGACACCATTTTAGACAACGTAGTATAACGAGAATTTCCACGTCCAAGCCAATATAATATTACACTAATCGACCTAGGAATCGAACCTAGAACCCTTATACAATAGGTAATCATTTTTGTGACAATTCTATTAGGTTGTCAATATTCAGTTTAATAAGACTCTCAACATGGCATATTAAAAAGTTATTCCCGATAACTTTATAATTACTAATCATTTCCAGATGCGTATCCTGGATACGTATAGAACGGAACGCTGCTTATTTGTGTATGAAATAACTAAGCATTTACCTACCTACTAATAAAACTGTAAAACCCCACCGTATTTTTTCTAATCCAGGAATTGAACCCAGGACCAGCCATTCAAAGACAGCTCTTGCGAAAATGAGACCGCGCTATCGACGACACTTTTACCTATTCAACTTTTCAGTATGATTTATGTCGACATACGCACTTCTATCCGCGTGGACCACACCTTCGCGTAGCGTGGCGTCTGAAGCGTTCGTAATAAATGCATAGAAACAATCGAACTCCCCACCAAATGACAAACTCCCGAAGCTAAGCAAAATATAAAAATGTAGCGATTCTCTCGGTAAGCTTTTAGTCAGGCCTGCTCCTCTCCGCTCGTCTTACATTGACGAACAGATCGGCGTCGGCTCATACTCACACACCTGTAAGTCATGTAAAACATACATAAACATTGTCGGTCTAAAACTGCATTGTCAAGCAATCATTTATTTTAACTCCTCGCACTTCATCCGTATTATGTGCACCGCACCAGTTAGATCATATCGACCACGGAAGTCTGGATATGTGCCTATTGTTTAGTTTGCGTAGGCTTTCGGGAGATTGTTTTCACAAACATGGAGCACTGCTAAGTTTTAAGACTTCTGATCACAATATACTTATTTGGGACTATTACGAGTTTGGATCAGCACGATGGTGGCAGTGCTGCTACTGCTTTGAGTTCAGCAACCGAGGCCAGTTGAGTTCCTTCCTCCTGTGGCCGTTGCACCTGCAGGCGTGTACGCGGGCCGAGCAGGACAGTCAGTTTCCCTTTAGAAACCGGAGCTGGCTCGCAATCGTCGGCTCAAAAATGACCGGCGCTAAAATAGCGGCGGGCGCAGGGGGGGCGAGTGCGCGCGGCTGCTGGGCCGCCCGCCGCCGGCCAGAGCCGCCCCGGTCGCCGCGGACTCCACATTCCAACGTCGCTGTGCTGCCGGTCGAAGAACCAGTGCCGTGACTGAGTGACCGTCTTCCACCCGTGCGACGTAAGTGCCGTGCCGTGAGAGTGCCAGTGACGGGCCCAGCGGGCATATAGTGTGTAGGATAACTGTGTTCCGGGAATCCTTGTGGATGTTAAGTTCGGAAACGTCGAAGATAAAAGACTGCTTGTAAGGAGGCTGGTCTAAAAATACGCGCGCGGTATGTGCCAAATGCGGACGGGTGCGGGCGTCGCCACGCTGAAATAGAAGCAACCGCCTTGTATAGTGCGCCGGATTACGTTACCGCCCGCGACTCGCGCGCAATGCACGCACGCATAATGTTTCAGCGATACTCTATGTGGATGTATGAGGATCGCACCAACGTATAATTTACACATTTTTTGTCAAAAATCCACATTTTTACAACTATACATACATTTACACTACACACTATACACGTAAAATATGACCATTTTACTTTGACCTCAACTGTCACATTTTCACAAGTTATCGTTAGATGCATTTTACCTTAAACATAGTGCGATGTCATTCAAAGTTAGTCAAATATTTCTAAAGTCAATAATTTATGACATAGTTAAAACTAGTGTAATGCCCTAATGCCTTACGAGGAAAAGCGCCCAGCTAACTTAATTTGATTGACTTACATTTTGATTTAATTAATTAAATTCGACGTGTAAATAATACTGAACGATGCCTGTTACAAATATACCTAATATAGATAATCGAAAGAACATAATTTAAAATACTTTAGTATGTGTTTTTCTCATAAATGCAAAGTACACACACACAACTTAAAAAAAAAATATGTTTAATGTCATGTCTTTCTTTTCGCCATTGATGTAAGTTACTTAATAGAAAAAAAAAATACTGGTGAGGGTAAATCCTCCGCTATCGTGGCCCATACCTTGTCCCCCATGGCGTTCAGGGTGTTAAGGTACTGCGTAAAATAAAACTTTACATTCACGATCAACACTACGAATTTTCCAAAGCTTTCTTTATTGAAACTGAAAGAATACAAAACTTCATGTCCGTACTCAAGCCGGGTTAAAGGATAACCATAACTTGGTTAAAAACTCACGACCGATTTCCATTCAATCCATGTGAGGACTTGACCTCTGTGGGTCTGATTGATTATTGATGTTTTATCAATCAATAAAATAAACTAAACAATAGGTACAATATCGTCATTAGTTAAACTTTTAAAATAAAATATTTATAAATCCAACACAAAAAATTTTTGATTTGATAATAGTTTAACGACGCGATCTAGAAAAAAACTCGCGGAAAATTTGTAAAAAATTCAAGGTTCACCGAAATTCGAATCCTGGGCAACATCGAGTCGAACACGAAATCCAATTTTACACTTTCTTTGAACGGTTGCCAACATGTAGGTGTACGCTAGAAGGCAGGAAAGATAAAACCGCTAAAAATAAGATAGACTTCATAAACAAATCTCACGCTTCCCGCGTTCATGTTTCGCGCCCACGCCATTTTTTCTAATGTTGGCACATAAGAAAAAGTTCGACATTTATTGGAATGCTACTATCTATTTTCAGTTAATGAATGAGTTGAAGACATAACTATTTAAAAAAAAACTTGAATCTGAAGCCGCTATTAAATAGCATAATGATAAACGAGTCTAGTAAAAGCAAATAAATGAAACGCGAATGATTATTAAAAAGAAATTCATTAATCTTCCAAAGTACCCTCTGGGCCACGAACATGCACTTTAAACCTCGCCAATCAATTTATAGGTACGCTAGTGAGACGTTTGTCATACACCGGACACAAATTCAGATGCAAAATCTCTACTGACATTCTCTAAATCTAAACATTTTGCTTGGCCGCAGAATCAAATCCAGTAGCAGACTAACATCAGTAGACCAAATGGTCAATTAAATTACGAAGTTATAGAACTTGTAATAGTCTCAAACGTTTTCTATGTGGTACAGAAGCCAAGAACACTGAATAGAAATTTGCACATAGTGCACACAGAGTCATTTTGCTAAAATGTAGGTACACCTGGGTGGCTATTTAGAAAACACTACTAGTCTATTTTGGGAGGCAAATGTAAACAGATGTGTATGCACTGATGCTAGATAAATCGAGCCGTCGATAAAATGTTAATCGATGCATCTATTGACGCGATGCCAATATATTCTGCGTTATGTTATGACGTCACGCCTCATGTAAACAGACCCGATGTTCATCTATCGATATTGGCAACCTGATAGTTACTGCTTACATGCAGCTGTGACTTGCAATTAGTACTGAATTTGTCCCCGAAAGGTGCCAACGAACTATCAATCGTTCGTCGAACCGTTTCTAACACTTGGAATTTTATTCTTCCTGCATCACCCAGGAAGCGGTAATGTCAAGTTAGCAGATGATATCGAAAATGATTTGCATGTTGATTTGTTATATAAAACTTAATGTTTGTTTTACAGATTAAATAAACTACCACCATGTCTGACGAAGAAGAATACTCGTAAGTATTTAGAATAATATTTTAACAGTCAGGATCTCAGAACGTAAGATATTTCTTTGCTTACACAAAACAATCACACAGACACAAGTTACATTCTTGTGCCATAGTTACACTCCAACGTCTAGTATAGTACACCCAGTCTGTTTCCCCTGTACTCACTGCAATGTATAACCCTCTGTTATATGTATACACACTGTGCTAACTAGAACACTGTATCTGTGAGTCCTTGTATGTGTCCGTTCACTGCATTCCTATCTATTCCACAGTGGCTCCGAGGAGGAGGAAGTAGAAGAAGAAGTCCAAGAGACGTAAGTATATCAGTACAGCGCGGCCGGTCTCTCCCGTATTCCCTGAAATTAGTTCTCTTAGAAACTGTTTGGTTTTGGAACACTTCAGCTTCTCTCGGCCTGATTTCTTACTTTGCCTTGGCGATTCTATCATTTTCCAAATCTATTAGATCGAAGGAGTACATGAGATTGTACATCGATAGTCTTACTTTTGGACATAAGCGTGAACTATTTGAGCATGATGGCAAGTTTTGATCCCCAGTTTCTTGGAACCCCCCAATCTTGGGCTTGTTGCACGCCCTCACCAAACCCTGTTCTCTCTTTTGTTACAGGAAGTAAGTGGCGTGCCATTTTGGTTGATCCGGCACTCACACATGCTTCGCTCGTTTTAGGCTAAGTTTAGATGGCAACCCTAACGCTTGTAGCGCTTACTTGGTCGCTTTCGTTGCTTACAGATTACCTACAACTTATGCTAGGAGCTGAGCGCTGTCGATCTTGCTTTCTAACAGTGGAATCTTCCATATAACCAACCGAACCATGAGTTTGATTTGATGCTATCGGAAAGATCAGAGTAACAAGGACGAGTAAGTGCCTGATCTTGTCCGTGTACAAAGTGGAACAATACCAGAGTGTTGTCGAAGTTGTGAGTGAACATCAATTTGGCTTTAACCCTAAGCTTTTGTAAATCAAATGGAATACAAACTTCTTCGCGGCTGCACAGTTTTTAATCGTGTTTTATTTTTTCTTTTCCCGTCGCTGCTCTCGTCGTTGCCAAATGAAGACCCGCTCCTAAACCAGAGTAAGTAAACTCTAGTTACGAACTGCCCTACCGCTTCGCTTCTAGCCACTGAACTGTTATGGCACTTTGATTGATTGGCACAAAATTAACGAATCTTATACCAACTAGTGATTTTGCTTAAGCAAAACGAGGTACGGTCCTTTTGGCAAAATTCAAAATCTTGATGACAACGGCTACTGGCTTGTGCTGTGTTTGTATCGTATATGCGCAGAATACACTAATTGTCACCGCTTATTTTGATTACGAACAATGAATTTTGCAATAAGAAGTAGAATATTGTAAAAGGTAATAGTAGAAGGCTGATTGTTGTTTTCTGTTTCTAGGAGTAGACCATCGATCGCGTAAGTTGCACCGCTCTCTGTGGTGTCACTAACTATAATCCTATCATTAACTATACTCCGTCTGTTTAGGTAGTTAACTATTTGTAAACAAACCATAAAAAGAGTTCTTTATAGTTGACATTTCCATGTTTCAAAATATTTTATAAGAAAATAAAATTGTTTCCCTTTTTACGACAGTTTTCTCTATGAAATGTTATGTTTCTGTTCCTTTTCACTTATTTCTTAGTAAATATTATATATATATCTGCTTGAGGATATTAATTTAATAACATTTATTAAATAATTTAATATTTCATTACAATAGACACCATAAAGAGCCTAAAATCCCAGGTATCCAAAACGTTTCTTTAAGAACGAAGCAAAATAATGTTGTCAAATTAAAGAGTACAACTAAGATGTAGCGCGACAATGAAAGTAGCGTGTATTACGTTTAGTCGGTTAATCAGGCGTCATTGACAGCTCTCTCGTCGTTAGCGCTCGCGTTCCTATTTTGTTGAATTTATCTTGTTTCTTTGTTTTGTTTTTGTTATTAAGTTACTTAAGTTTAGGTTATTCATCGTTTTTAATTAATGTGTTCAAATATATTGAAGAAACTTGGCCCAAAGACACATATCCGTACAAGAAAGAAATCCGTTCATCAGATTCAGAATAGTTTCTATTTAAACATGATAATGAAATAGACCCATAGGCAAGGCTCTTGTACGATTTAGGCATTTGTAGTTGTGTTGTGTGTATGACAAATGAACGAGTTTAAAGTGAATTTGGTTAAAATTAAAACACGAGAAATATTTGAAGTAATAGTAGGTTAAGTATCTCTGTGTCACGTGGTTTTCTTTGTTTACCTTTAGTTAATTACCTAAACAGATGGACTATAGATAAGGCGCGGGCGCATGTTTTTACGAACGTTTCCCAAATTTATCGTATTCGTATCCGAGCAGACGATCGTTCGGCGAATGAACAACCGCACGCCGACGTCGGCTGCTATTTTTATATCGGTTGGTAGGTGTTCTATTTTAGAAAACGGTGCTGTGCTGCGCCCGCGCCATTCTGCAAACAAACAAAATGTCGGTCAACGGGCAACTGCTCGAGTTGCCCTGACTTATTTTTGATTTATTGCATGAAAGAAATAACAAGACATCGGTGCATGACTACCTACCTTGTAATAAATAATGTAATCGTGTCGTAATATGTGTACATGTCCGTCTACTACAGCCATGGTAATTATAAATGTTGTCATAAACCCACAACAAACAATAATACCTGCCATTACAAACACAAAACTACACAACTATGACTATTAAATACAATTTACATGGATGGAGTCAACATTAATTTATCTAAAAAAGTACATCAAATATGGCTCCGAAAGAAGAAGAATTATGAATCGTGTAACAATAATATGTTAACAAGTAATGTTGTCACGTAGTTGTTCAGTTCACAAATATAAAGCTAAAACTTTAACAATATGTACAGTACCTGATGTCCCTGCTTACACGCCGATGTAAAAGCGTAACAGCGGAAATTTAACTATAACGAGTTACCGTAAAACTCAAATCACCGTAACAGAAGTTATATGTATTGTGACCGTGACAACGGTTTCTAACATTAACACAAACATATTTCATGGCGATCTGACTAATATGGTTCATCTGTGTTTACAGGGGTGAGGGAGACCCAGAATTCATCAAGGTAATTATCACCACTCAGTTCCTTATCATAAAAACATTGGTTGTAAAGTGTAACAAAGATTAATAACGTCATTCGTCTTTTGTGAACAGCGTCAAGACCAGAAGCGGTCGGACTTGGATGAGCAGTTGAAGGAATACATCAACGAATGGCGCAAACAGCGGGCTAAGGAGGAAGATGAGCTCAAACGCCTCAAGGAGAAGCAGGCCAAGCGCAAGGTTCGTCTACAGCAGAACTGAACAACTATTATGTGATGAATGGTACAATGTCAACACGAGTCATATCACTGCTATATTAAACGTGTTCTAATAATTCAAGGTTTCTCGCGCTGAAGAAGAGAAGCGCCTCGCCCAGAAGAAGAAGGAGGAGGAAGAAAGGAGAGTTCGCGAAGTTGAAGAGAAGAAACAACGCGACATCGAAGAGAAGAGGCAGCGACTCGAGGAGGCCGAGAAGAAGCGCCAGGCTATGCTCCAGGCCATGAAAGAATCCAGCAAGACCGGACCCAACTTCACCATCCAAAAGAAGAGCGATAACGTAAGTACCTACAAACTATCACTGTTTGCACAGTATACAAATAAATTACTCAAGTGTTCTGAGAACATAAACAAATTTTCCCTAATGCACAAACTGTTTATCTCAGCGCATCTTATGTAAATAATACACAGCGTAATTTGAGCAGTTCTCGGGAAAACTGGAGTCGATTTGAATCATTCAACAAAATTAAACTTTGCTTACAGTTCGGCCTTAGCAACGCTCAATTGGAACGCAACAAGACCAAGGAGCAGCTTGAAGAGGAGAAGAAGATCTCGCTGTCCATCCGCATCAAGCCCTTGAACATCGAGAACCTCTCCGTTGAGAAGCTCAGACAGAAGGCCACAGAACTCTGGGAGTGCATCATCAAACTCGAGACCGAGAAATACGATCTCGAGGAGAGGCAAAAGAGGCAGGACTATGACGTAAGTTGAACAACTATAAGTTTAATAAATGCAGCATTATGTACTTGCAAAGATATGAATATTAAACATACCTTTTTGTCAACAGTTAAAAGAGCTCAAAGAAAGACAGAAGCAACAGTTGAGACACAAGGCCCTCAAAAAGGGTCTCGACCCTGAGGCACTCACAGGCAAGCACCCGGTAAGCATAATCATCACTTAATATTCAATACAAAACGTTAGATATTTGGTGATAGTCATAATTGCTAACATCATTATTCATTTTCAGCCCAAAATCCAAGTAGCGTCCAAGTACGAGCGACGTGTCGACACAAGGTCTTACGACGACAAAAAGAAGTTGTTCGAGGGTGTAAGTATTGCCACACTACTTCTCGAACATACGCCCACATTCTACAGCCAAAGTAATCCAAACTGTGCGTTGCTTGGAAATTAAATTCGCATTAATTTCCTGAAAACGTTAGAAATACTATTATATTCTGTCCCACATAAGTTGGACTTATGCCAAGCACTCGATTCAGGTCACTTTCACATCTATTTAATTCATCGTTATGAAGTAACGAGTTTAATTATGAGACATATCTTCGGGGAAACATCTGGCTACTTAAAATAGTACAAGTAGGCAATGAAAATAATTTGTTAACATGGCAGAGCAAAGATAGTGTACGCACACACATGCATGAAGTTTCCGTCTATGGAACCTGATATTGATGATGTCATTTAAACGCAGGGTTTGGATACTCAATTGGCAGAGTTTATGGATAAAATATGGAACGAGAAGATGGCAGAGTTTATGAACCGCACCAAAAGTAAGAGGAGAGCGCCACGTGTGGCGGTTGTGTCCCCAATGTTACCCCACGACGCATGTCTACACGGCATGTTATGTTCCATTTGTGACCCACAACTACCTGACTCTGCTGTAGAAATATACACGAGTGGTTGTTTACTACGGAACAAAAATCTCAAATTGTTTCATATAAATATTTCTGAGTTCATATGTAGTAAATTCTCACCGAGTAATATATTTCTACAGCTACATAATATTCTCTCTCCTTGTTCGAGTCCCGGTCGTGTGCATCTCCTATTGTACCATTGTCATTGTATTTACCCTGTGTTAACGATTCCTTTAGGACCTTGAAAAACTGAACAAGGACTTCCTCGAGAAGGTGTGGCAAGAGAGGGCCGACCAGTTCGGTGGCAGGCAGAAGAGTAAGTACTATTTGTGAACATCTTCCAAAAATAGCAGTATAGTCCACAGCTGCGCGTCATGATATATCTATCTACAACTTTTTTCGACAAAAATAATAGGTTGAGTTAATTCGCCAAAAGTTGATTGTTTAAATTCGAATTACGCTACTAAAGAATGTTCCAAATTACATTATACCAAAACCATCTGACCAATGAATGCCCATTAATGCGCACAAGTTTGTCAAAATCTTGTTGCATGTTGATCCCTCCTATGTAAATAATTGTTTGAAAACCGAATGTACAATGACAATACATATTACCTACTTGTATTAAAAGGTACGGCTTGACTAAGAATTTACTCTATCTGGGTTTGACACTGATTGTTACGATTTATTCAACAATATTATATTTACAGATGAATGTAAAGACTTTTAATATAACATGGATTATGGAAATGATGCATAATTGTGATTCCCAATGCCAAAAAGGTCATATGAAAAGATTTATTTCTATCATAAAACGTAACTTTATTGAAAGTAATATTGAATGAACGCAGAAAATATGAAAGGAAGTATGGTAAAATCAGAGTACTTAGAGCTCCCACTAACGGCATTGAAAGGAGGTTTTACTTGAGTCAGAGTAATTACTCCAAGGCAACTGTCGCTTTCTGCTTTTTACCTACTGTGCTTGTATGTCTAATATCGATATGTGACAAACAGCGAGGCTGCCCAAGTGGTTCGGTGAGAGGCCCGGCAAGAAGAAGGGCGACACCGACTCCCCCGAAGGCGAGGAGGACGTTAAGGCCGAAGTTGAAGAGGACGAGGAGCCTCAGTACGAGCCTGAACCCGAAGAGGAGGAAGAGGTCGTAGAGGAGGAGGAAGAGGAAGAGGAGGAGGAGGAAGAAGAGGAGGAAGAAGAAGAAGAGGAGGAGGAATAAGTGAGTATTGTGACGTATAGCTGTAAGAAAACCTTTTAGCATTTTGACATAACTTGTATAACTTTGCACTATTGTATTGTAACTTTCGTGAGACAAACTAAATAAATTATTATGTATTCGGCTTACTCACGTAGTAATTTGACGAGGAACTCGACTAGTTTCAAGCCATGCTAGAGGCTTATAATCATGAGCAGCATTTCGCGACCTGATATGAGCGTCTAGCATGGCTTGAAACTAGTAGAGTTCCTCGTCAAATTACTACGTGAGTAAGCCGAAAATATAATAATTTACTTTGCACTATTACTGGTACCACAATTTTTTCCGATTTCTGTGTCTAGATGCAAGTTATTGACTTGACTTACTTACATTACAGGAATTTTTAAATCCCGCCAGTTGATGAATGATGAAATAAACGACGCTAGCGATGCATTTACAAAACCATAAAGTCATTCAGTCATCTGTTTCTAGTGAATCTATGCTACATAAAAATATTATTTCTTATAAAGTTCCACGACTCAATGTCTAGTAACATAACCAATGACTAATAAACACGTGTTACCTTTGTTCCAGACGCACGCAGAAGAATTGATCAGGGAAGCTAGACCGCCGACACTCACGGGTCGGACTGTACTGTTTTGTAACCAATCCATTAACTTATTACTATTATAAATTATTTTTATTATTTATACTGTTGAATCATTCGTTACGGAACATGGACATTTTTTGCACTTAGAACGTCATCAACATCTATGACGTAACAATAAACTAATTTATTTCATAAGGCTGTCGAGTTTTTTATTTTTACCTTTTGTTTAAGTGTATTCCAACCTATGTTTATGTTTGTAACGGATAACGAAAGCTTTTCTAGTAAAATTATGGAAAATATACTATGATTACTATGATGGCTACTTTTCTTTAAATAATCGAAACCAAAAGGAATGTTCTATATTTTGTTAAGAATATTCTTTATGTTTAAGTATATAAATACATACATTTTACTTCTAATACAGACAACAGCACATTAAGTTACCCACAACCATCAAATCTTTCAATAGAATTTCAACTTTATTGCGAAATTATAAGGTCGAAAATGTATTTCACTTTGATAGCTCGGTGTAACTAATGTTACCCAAGATGTCAATGATTGCTATTTGATATTACCAACCACTACTTATAATAAATAATAGAACAGGTTTAGAAACAAAGAAAATAAGATATATAATTATAATTAAAAGATATATTCAATACAATAAATCTATAATAGTAAATGTTCATTACAACTAAATAGTGTTACAATGAGACTTACTAACAACTACACAATCTTGACACTTATATCAACTATACCTGGCAATTTGATTACGTAAAAAACACTAATTTAATTACACATGTAACTAATAAATAAAAATATCTTCTAAACTTGTTCGATTTATCGCTAAACACACGCAAGTACTTTAAAAGTAAAATGAATTAGTCAACAACATCGAACAAGCCTAAAGATAATAATTTTATACAAAAAGCAATATTCGACAGAAAACAAAACTAAGTAGGAGGAAATAAATGATAAGACAGTAAGTAGAAGGTTTGGACTTAAATTTCTGGGTCGATAATTATAGAAATAGCTCCGTTCGTATCACCCGCGACGTAATTAACACACATATCACAAATAGTTGTGCTAAATGGAGGGATAAAAAGGGATTAATTCAATAATAAGTTAAATAACAGCAAATGTTTAAGTCTTCCTCTTCTGCCTGGTGTTACTAACCCCGGCGTTTGCCGAGCCTCGCCTACATAAAACACAAAAGCTTCAGTAAGTAACAATAAATGCAATTTATTTATTTATAGAACACAAGCACACACGGAAAATTATATTCAAAGCCCGGGACGTAGAGTCCAATTTTGAATGATAATATTAGAATCACAAGGCCTAATTTCGAGTATGGTGTCAGACAGTGTAGTTGTTAGATAGTCTGTACATATGGTAATATGTCCTTACGCGGCGGGGATGGGGTTGGACGGGGTCTTCTGTTGCGGTGACTTCTGCATCATGTTGATCTTGTCGCCTAGAGACAGCGCCATACCCTGCACGTGGAATATTGTAATGAGGAATACTTCTAACACTGTAAATATTAGCACAACTAGATGCTTCTTAAAGAACTGCGTCTAAACTATATGTTGGAAACAAACTGAAGTTTACGTTTGAGTCTTTAAAACTCAACACAACTATTATATGACTCACGCTAGCATTAAATTTTAAATAACTTCTAGAGAAACTTATTGCCTTTTAAATCTAGGTTATTATATAATGATTTATATATAACATACGAAAAATTCAAATTATACTACAAAAATAATTTAAAAACTCATACAATCGTGTAACATACCTGACTCTTAGCCCTGATCCTGACATGTCCAACGACGGGGGAGTTGGGTTTGTGCAGCGGAGTCTCAATACTCAGGTTGGCCAGAGCATCCTCGCCGAAGATAGAACGAGCGTATAGGTTCGCTGCCATAAAGCCGCATTGACCTGATAATGCCTAAAAATAGAAAAATAATGAAAAAAAAATGTTTTTATCTATCCCTTTGAAAAGGAGAAGAATTCGGAAAACGATATAAAAGTAACATTTTCTTATGAAAGCCATGGCATTGGTTACATCATAAATAATAGTTTAGTCATCATGTTTTAGTTTGGTAGGTATTAGTTATGCCTCTAACACGCGAATTATTTTTTAATACGTTAAGTATGTATCTTCGTTTTCTCGTTCGTCGGTAGTAAGGTTTAAAGCTAAAAAAAATATAGACTGTAGTTACCTTTTCAGGAGTCAAGCACTTCATGTTTGTAGAAGCTAGTAAGTGTTGTAAGTACTCGCGCAGATCCGTTATGTTCGTGTTTACGGACACCTGTGAATAAATATCACGTCACATTTTATAAACATCGCACAACCCTCCATATTACTTACGTTGGCATTGGCCAATAACCTATTTTACTTAATTAAATTAGAATTTTAACCAAATTCTATCTTATCTACCTGCAGATAAGGTATTGAAAGTTGCTGTAAATGGTCTTAGAATGAATATTTTTCATAATTTTTGTCACTTACGTCCGAACACTGCAAGGTACTTAAATATCGTGCTATCTCTGTCATTTTACAAAGAATTTGTAGTGACGGAACTATACTTAAGGGCTACATTTGAGTCTTGTAAATAAGTTTTGAGTACCGTTTGAATATTTTAGCGTGAGTCTCTCACACTTTTCATACCGCTGCATTTCTTTTAGATGTAAAATAAATTCGTATAAATACATATTGTAAGGTTGGTAGGTATAACAATACCTTGTTCTCCCACTCGAACTCGGCCCACATCTGCCTGAAGTCCGCGTCGGTGCAGAGCGCGGGCTGGATGTAGTCGACGATGTCGATGTGGATGTCGTTCAGTACGACCACGCCGCGGTCCATCGACGCGCCCGACACCTCGTACACTAAATCACGAATAAAACTATTAGAATTTTCATTGATCTTAATGGTTTTAGATAATTCGCTGTTCTCTATAAACTGATAAAAAAACTGTTAAAAAACATAGACCAATCTCTTCCTTTATTCGATTTTCAACTTTGTTGTTTTGTTTAGTATTGTAAAGTTGGAAATCCAACGAAAGAAGGACAGATTGGAGTATGTTGCCCCGCTATCTACTTGTATGTATTTAACTGTAGTAATATTATCAAGTATTGTTCATAATGAGGTTATGAGGTTTGTTTCAGTTATAAAATAGTCACCGCAAGTATATCAAAATAGTATTTTTAGATTGAGATTAATCTCAAGAATCATATATTTTCTCAGAATCAAAGATAGTTGTGTAAAGAAAATGCATACCGATGTTCCCGAAGATGATGCCGTTCTCGGTGGAGGCGACCTTGACGTGGGCCTTGATGGTGGCGTAGTCCCGGGGCGCCAGCACGACGGCGCCGGGCCGCTCCACCAGGCGCAGGTCGCCCAGCGTCGCCAGCTCCACGCAGCAGTTCTGCAGCGTGTCGTCTGGAATGGACCGCTTTGTTACGAACCTACTTTCGCAAATTTTGGGACACACGAGGAGATTCGACGATGACGTCGCAAGGCTTATATGACGCAAGTAAAGATTGTAGGCGACTTAACACGGGTAGAAATTGCCAACATACAAATGACGGGTTGTATACAAGCCAGGCATGATGAACAAGTCTGATTAGAGGATCCAGACTTTTAATAAATTAGGGAACATATCATAATCTGTTACCTAAATACATTTTTAATTTTTGTTTCTCGTAAGACATGTAACATTAACTATGTTTTCCGACTTATTCAGAGTTAACTGTGCGACAAACACAGCGTCATTTGTCGCGCAATGCTGCACATAACTATGAGTCCCTAGTGTGGCTCGAAACTACTCGAGTTAGCTCGTTATTTCACGAAGTATGTGTTACGGCTCAATCGCGCAAGTGTTATTTTGAACCTTATCACACTGCAATAAGGTAAAAAAACTGAGACAAGTAGCTACATCTCACCGGTCTGATTGACGACGAGTACGTCGAGGACGATGTCGTACTGGTTGACAGCGACGATGGCCTCGGCGTACACGGGGTCCGAGAAGCCTGTCAGCTGCGTCACCTTCCATAGCTTGCCGCGCTCCTCGCTCACGCCTGTACTGCGGCCTGCAACAATACACTTTGTTATTAATGGCATAGAGCTTATTTTAGATTTCTAGTTACACTAGCGACACAGCTGGGAAATCCTCTTCATATCTGTACTGCGACTTGGATAACGAATGAAAATTAACCTTGTTTGTATTAGTATAGAATATGATTTAAAGGATTCGTTCACACTAATGCAAGCTAGACACTACATGAGAAGACTTTGTAGAAAACAATATAAAGTATCTATGTTTTTGAATGCTCGTCATATTTTAATCGCTTGCTGTTCTAAGACTAAGACCAAACTCGACTAAGAAAGTGGCATCCTTTAAATTATTCAATGAATAATGTGATCACTATTATTGTTTTCAAATTGATAAAGATGATGTTTTAAAATGATACCAGTAGTCCCGAGTAACATGAGACCAATCCGCCTGTGGGTTACCTTGCAGTGCCTTAGTGAGCGAGAGCTCGAACATGTCGTGGTGCGTGGAGGCGGCGGAGTTCCCAGCCAACTGAGCGAACACGATGCCTTGCTCCACTTCCACCTGGTTGTCTTGCTTCTTGGGCTCACGCTCCTAGGTAGGTAAGTCAAATATGTAGGAATTGAATATATTTTTCGGGAGAGAGAGAGAGAATCGTGATGATATTACTTTTTCCGTCTGGCGAGAGGGACTATAAAATTCTTATTGCCTAAAATCCACCACGTTCGTACTCCTGCTTCGAATTGGAGCGTAATTTTTGGGATAATTATCTTATGTTACCTATCATTCCATGTCATGGTAAGGTTCTACATAGTGAAAAACTAGGTGTTAAAAATGGAATGTTGAGAGATTTAATATTAACGGATTGGGGAACCTTTTAATTTTATCATTAATTATACAATTAATTGAATTCTTTTCTTTAAAACTTTGTCCCATATCAGGACTTTTTCTTGTGTTGTTAATAACATCCAGATACGAAACAATAATCTGTGGATCACATAAGGAGTCGTTCTGTGCGGGAATCGAATTCGCGACATGTTACTCGGTAGCCGGTTGCCCAGGGACCGCGCTAGCCGTGCAGGGTCTGTACCTTGTCAGCGTCGTCCAGCAGGTTAGTGGCCCGGTCGGGCAGCGCCAGCAGCGCGGCCAGCGCGGCGGCGGAGCGCTGCAGCAGCGCGTCCCGGACGACGCGCGGGCGGTGTCGCGCGGCCAGCACGCAGCGCGCGCCGTGCAGAGTACAGGGTGCAACGTACCTTGTCAGCGTCGTCCAGCAGGTTAGTGGCCCGGTCGGGCAGCGCCAGCAGCGCGGCCAGCGCGGCGGCGGAGCGCTGCAGCAGCGCGTCCCGGACGACGCGCGGGCGGTGTCGCGCGGCCAGCACGCAGCGCGCGCCGTGCTCGGCGTCGTCGGCGGTGAGCGCGCCGCCCGCCTTGTGTCGCGCCAGCAGCCGCGCGGCCAGCGCCAGCGCGCGCGTCGCCTCGCGCCCCTCCAGCTTCAGCGCCAGCTTGCACAGCGCCGAGCAAGCGCACGCCGCCGTGAAGCTCTCTCCCTCGCCTAACGCTGCCCATAGTCCCGCGTGGGCGGGGGCTGCTTGGCTCCTGTAAGGGAGAGAGAGAAAAATCCCAGGTAATTTCATGTCATAATTTTGTACCAAATTGAGTTCATGATTTTTATTTATTTATTTTTATTCATACACTTGAGAAACTAACAGCTATACAGTTTGACTAAATAGAATGTGGCAACAAAACGCCAACTACTGGTTTCCACGATTAGTAACAGAGAAATCAAGGTTCACCTGCATGCGCGTCTCAATCAACTTTGTATTAAATGGGTCAAAAGAAAAATCTTTACAAAGTTTATTGAAATCATTCCTTCTAAAGAAGTTAATAGTAATACATTAATGTTACCGGTTATATCTGCGAATCAATTGACATACGGCAGGCACTATTTCAGGTACATTCCCAGCTAAATGAATAACTAAAAAAACTATGGCTAATTTTGATAACATATCAGAATGACTCACACTGGCAAGTTGAATGCAGATTGGGAAGCGTAAGTTCCATCGCTGGTGACAAGCTGTCGTGGCGCTGAAGTGTCCTGGGCCTTATTTGTCGCAGACTCGGATTCTTCCTGTAATCAATCAGTTTTAAACACTATTCGAAAACACCACTTTGACACTCATGGCCTGCATAGGCCTGCTAGACTATACTTGGCGGTTAGCACGTAATTTGAAATTTGACGTTACAATTAGATTTTAAATACTTTGAAGTTATACTGTGTCTTTTAACTTTAACTTTAGACTGGTTTTACAGTAAGAATTTAGGCAGAATTTACAGTTAGACTTTTGAGTTTGACTTTTGAGTTTGACTTTAGACTTTCGACTTTAAAAGACTTTGACTTTAGACTTTATAGCTCACCTTGTCCTCTTGTCCGCTAAGGGAAGGAATGACGTTGGCGAGTACATCCAAGGCATCCTGGGCACGTTCTGGAGTGTCGGCGAACTGGGCCAGTAACCACAGCGCAGAGCGCGCTATCTTACCCACTTTGATACCGGGCACCGCCTCCAACAGTTTCTACAAACAAATATTAATACAATTGGGTGATGTCGTTATTTTTATAATGTGACAGTACCTTAACGATTAGTGGATTGGAAAATCGGTCTTTGAAAAATAATTGAGTTTACAATATACCTGGTAGATATGATCGCGCAAGTCCACGAAGGTATGTAGAGCGGAGCGCAGGAACAACATGACATCCTGCGCGGCCGGCTCGCTGCCGTCACCCAGTAACTCCAGCAGCGCCGGGGCCACGCTGCCTGCTACTTCAGGGAACTGGAAGCGGTTGGTAATAGTTATTATAATACAACTATCAATATAGCTCGAAGGGAAATCAAAGTGCCAACAGGCCGACATGTGTTCTAAGGTGAAATATGTCTAGGTAAAAGTGAGTAGGGTGCTCTTCAAGTTGTAGTTCAGTGGCGGGTTAATAACTAACCTCTATGCAATACTGAATGAAAGTAAAATTGGTGTTAATAATTTTGCACAACCTGATTATGCCATAAGTTATTTCAGCAAACAATAAAGCTTACCTTGAGAGCAGCTCGATGCAACGCCCTAACAAGCAACTGCCTATACTTGGCAGCATCATCGTGGTCCGCATTAGTAGCTCTGGCAGCTTCCTTCCGCAGTACTTGTACGAGGTCCTCAGCGTGTCTGGAGGACACGAGGTCGAGTGCCAGCGCCAGGGTGTGCCTCCTGACGTCGAGGTCGGACGCGGCCAGGACGCGCAGTACGTCCATGGCGAGGTCCGGCAGCGCCCGCGCGGCCGCCTCGCCCGCCTCGGCCCTTAGTGCCCCGAGCCTGCCCACTACTATCAGCTTCACGTTGTTGTCGCTCTCCTTCACTATAAGGTCGATGTAGCATGCTGCAGCCGCCTGTGTCAAACATTAATTACTTTTAAATAAAATAATAAAATCCAAAGACCTTAGCATCCCAGAGAATTGTAAGCGACGCGTGACGTAGTTTTGCGCATAGCAAATCTTGTTGCGCGACTTGCGCGTCCACAACATATTCTCTGCGTCGTGTTAATTGTGCAACCGTAACGAACTCGTTGCGCACTCGCTGCACTTTGAGACGTTCGCAATCCGCTAATATGATAAAGACCTAAGTTTCAAATTTGTCTCACATGTATTCATAAATACTATTATTGTATTATTATCAACTCAGTGAACTGTCTCTTACCTTGATAGCAGCGGGGGCATTAGACAGTGTAACGAGAGTACCAGCGGCCTCGTATCGCACGGCGGCACTGGTCGCGTTCAGTAGTCCATACACTGTACGGATGAAACGAGACCTCTCTGATGGATTCGCGTGGCAAACCTGAATAGCAATCACTAAGTTGTAGTAAGGACTTCAAATATTATGAAAATTATAATGGCGCAATTTATGTATATAAATTAGTTTAGACACAAAGTTACAACAGACACACATAAAGGTATACTTCAGTACTTGAAGAAGTGTCGATATTAATGCCAGTAGTGACTCTCTATTCACATTAAGTCTTACCTTGTAAATCAGCTCCACAATGACCAATTGAAGGATATCTCCAAAGCCCTGTACATTATCCAGCCTGGATGACAGGTAGGACAATGCTCGCTCCTGATCAGCATGCAGCAGCATCAGGAATGCATTCCTCTTACAGGACATGTCCTGCTCTGTCTCCAAGAAGTTTGCTACCAGCTCTGGAGCATCCGGGATCAAGAATTCGAAGTTTCTGGTAAAACAATAACATATTGTGTTCAAATAGAATATAATTTAACTCGAGACAGGATTTCAGTAAAAAAATTCTAATAAGTGATTTTTAATAATTTCTTATTGGATTGCTTGAAAGCAGTGATTCAGTTGAAGTTTCAAATTATTTCAAGTTTTAAATAATTTGTTTTTGTTTCTCTGTACCTGTAGATGGTAAATATGGCAAGCACAGCATTCCTCCTGACATATGAATGGCGATGGTCCAGGCAGGCTCTGATAGCGGGCATCAGAGGCTCCAGGAGTTCAGGCTCCTTCAGCTTGCAAAGGAAGCGCAGAGTGGAGCCCCGGATGAACTCATTGGGGTGTTGTAGATCCTGGATAGTGGAAAATCAATGTGATATTCAAAGGTTTTAGATATTATAGTAAAGTGATACACATTATTTCATGATTTCAAATATTTTTCTTCCCAAAAGTGGACTAACTGTTTAACATTACATTGACCCTCTAAACAAACATGTTTCATTGCTTTAAAATTGATAATTAGTTTACATTTACCAAATTGAATATCAATAATCACTGACCTTTCTGTAGGCATCACAGACAAGGATCATCTCCTGCATCAGCTTGCCATCAGGAGTGGTCTTTGGCACAATTTCCCAGAAGATCAGCAACAGCTTCTTGATGGTATGGTCTTGCAGGGGCAGCACAAACCTGATGATGATCATCAATAGACCAGGAATCTTCTCCCCAGAGAGGATGATGCCTATTACCTTCTTTAATGCTTCTATTTTCTTCTTTGTGTCACCTTTCTCTGTTCAAAGATAAGAGAATGACATTTTAAAATTACATTAATTTCTTATAGGATTACTATACTTATAGCAGAAAATGTTATAACAACTAAAACTGGATACAGCATTAACTTGAGCACTGGCCTTTTTGCACTGTATTGGATTTAATTTATTATTTATTGTTTTTCTTTTTAGTTGTTTAATGGTTTTTCTTTACTTACTTGTAGTTATTCTTATATGAATGCTATAAGAATATCACATGATAACAGCATTGTTTTATATAGGTACTTGTAGTATCTTACATATTTTTTTATGTAAAAGAAGTCAAAAGACCAGACTGGTCACCTGCTGGTAAACAATCACCGTCACCCATGGGAGAACAGTATATGTCATTTTCTTTAATGAAATATTTCCATTATTTCTAGCAATAGTGTGGTGTCCCCATAGTATCTGTTTAGTGCTAAAATGTTACTCACCAAGATCCAGCTTGAGCTGCATCTCATTGTAAGGCTCTGAATCAGTTGGGAAGTTGATTAGAGTATAGCATGGCTGTTCCACGCCCGCCATGCTGAAATTACATCATAAATTACTATTGGACCCTTATTAGAAAATTAATTATATACAAGTTATGATAAGATATTTATGTTTTGTATAAAGTCTATTTATTTAATGTATTTACAGCATGTAATAATTAAAGAAAGAGTTTAAACTGTGTCCAATACGTGAACGAATAGCAATAATTTAGAAGACTTCTGTTTCGATCATGTTGCCAGTGGTCTTCAATTTTAGGGTTTTATTGGTCATTAACCACGGAGGATTCAGTTGCATATGCTTCATTTTAAAATGTTTATATCTATGTTATATTAATTCTTTTTAAGACCAAATAGCTGAAATATTTGGTTTGGAAGCGTCCGGTCGATTCATCACACCCATGTCATAATGTATTTACTTACCTGGATTTATTTAAAAACACGGTTTTAGGTCAACAAATAATTGTGTATCACTTTATGTTTATAACACCCCTAGAAATCTATATTATCAAAGGAAATTAAATTAATTTAAAACCAAATAGTGAAATAATACGTGTCCACATCCACAACGTCAAATGTCAACGTGACATTGATGTAGTGCTGCAACTACACGATGAGAGTGAATAACATATTCAAGTTAAATGGATGAGTGTTTTTTCTATTTCAGATCTAAATTATACACAACAGACTAGTGTTATTTTTAAAATTAATCTTAACCGTAGTGAAATCTAGGTATATTAATCAAATTAGATTAAATTCCATTGGCAACCTTAGTTTCCCCCATCCCTGGCCCATTGAAAATCAATAACCATAAATGTCAAAGTTGTCAAATCGACAAAAATATTTTGGGCTGTTGCGCTGTTTGACGTCTTCATACTTTTTCGAAAGTTTCAACTTTGGATTTGCAAAATTATCTGCTGGAAATAAGAAACGTAATGTTTTAAAATCACAAATCCACTATGACGGTGTTAGTGTCGTTATTCTATCTTCTATTTTCGATATGTGTCGTCTATCCACCCACCGAGTTCGTGTCGGCCGGCTTTACTATAGCGCAGCTGTTCGAGGGATTCCTTGGATCTGAAAATATAAACTTCATTGGGTATCATATGAAACGGACGACAATAACTGCTTTGATTCATTCTGCTTTGCCTTTGGGCTACGTTTTTACTCTGTTATGTGCTGGGGAGCGCAATCCTTGGTTGCCTGCGGCGGCAGCTGCGACAGCCATTATTCCTTTATTGATGTGCTATAGACTGTTATGTTGGTGGGAAAATGGGCAGGCGAAGCACCCAGTCGTGAAGTCTCTTTTGGCGTATGTGACTCCAGGCAGTGACTGGAGAGTAGTGGCAGCAAACCTCAATATTGAGTTCAGGAAGTAAGTTCACCCCTGATGCAATATTACAAACATACTCTTTTGATTAAGTAAATAAAATATTAGATCATAGTATATCATTTTAATGGTTGCCCCAATTCCTATAAAACCTTATACATATAACTAGGTTTATGTATGAATATAGTTCTCGTAACAAGCCCTAGTATTCTATTGTTGTTGCAGTGTAGACAAAGTGTCAATACAGCTGAATACAACAAGTAGGTTTGTTGCCACTGAGAACTGGCTGATCAAACTCAGCCCATACAAACTCAATGTTGTCAAGCAAGGAGACTGCACTCTTGTTGCTACTGCGGTAAGTACTTAAATATTTGTGATCATTTATGATTTTTTTTTATTTTATGGGATTGATATTAGACCTCTAACTCTTCTGGCCATTAACTTACTGCTCATTAATTTACTTTAAATTCTACGGAATAATTGATTAACATAATTTTAGAGTATGATTATAACAAGAAAAGTTGTGGACAATTTGAGTAAGCAAGCTGCTGGCACTGTCAGTTTAACAAATTATAATTTTAACCACTTGAATCTCTAGAAATATTATTTTTTGGTGATTAACATTTTTATTTTTGTATAACTAGCATTTTTATTTTTGTATAAAATAGTTAATGTTAGACATAAAGTGTGTGAAATTAATTAATTCACTTTAACTTTTATTGTACAAAAACATAACATTGTTGTTAATTTATATTTTAAATATTTTTTTTAAACTTTGAAAAAACTTGAATTTAGTATTTATGCTACTGTATTTTTTCATAACTTTACATTTTAATTATAACATTAAATGAAAATCACAGTCAGAATAAAAAATTGTTATGTTTATTCAAAGTGTTGATATTGTCCCAGTTATAATTTAATAGAGACAAAAATTAATTGATAAGTGTAACAAAATTGTGATAAGAGATAAAGAATCATTCAGTTATTTTAATTGCACATAACATAAAGTTCCCACAATCTTGTTATTCTTATCTGAACCTAATATTTTTGTATAATTTGATAACTATGTTATGCTTAATGAATATCAACAGGATGCCGGTCTTTTGATAATTAACTAAATATTTCAAGGCCTTTTTCAACAATTTTATAACTGGGTTGCCATTAATATTAAATCCTAACTTTTTTGACTATATACATCAATATCTTAAATGGAGTGAATGCTAACTTGTTGCAATTTTACCAGTTACAACCTATTACTTCATGTTTTTATTCTAATATGTATATTGTGTGATGAGTCCTTTGATATTCTTAAGGTTTATTTAAGTTTAATAAATCGATGACCTTTCATTCTGATTAAATCACCAAATCAAAACCAAGTAGTTATTTCGATAACAATCATATTAAACAACTATAAATCTATTGAATCTGCGACATTTCACACATAGATCAATGGATCATTTGATCAAGTGTGGGAGAGCCATGCTTCGGCACGAATGGGCCGGCTCGACCGGAGTGATACCAAGGCCTCACAGAAAACCGAAGTGAAGTAACGCTTGCGTTGTGTTTCGTCGTGTGAGTGAGGTTACCGGAGGCCCAATTACCCTCCCCTTCCCCAATCTCTCCAATTCCTGAATCCCCAACGATCCTCAAACTCCTAATCCCCAAAAGGCCGGTAACGCCTCTGGTGTTCCAGGTGTCCATGGGCGACGCCGATTGCTTACCATCAGGTAATCCGTCTGCTCGTTTACCGGCTTATGCCATAAAAAAAAAATCTGCCACTCGCCCTTAAACACTTCTCATTCGGCCCTATGTTTATTATTGTTACATTAACATTGAATTATTACTTGTTGATTAAACTTATTGATGAAAGAAAGTTGAAATAACATAGACAATCGGAACTTCCTGAACTTTAAGCTACTTTTACTTCTGACCTCATTTTTTTATGCGGAGTTTCGGCGAATATCGTGTTTGTTATAACATAACATGTTATTTAAGTTGTTTATTTTATTACATTTAGGAGGAACCGGTTTGTTTAATAAGATATAAATATCATCTATTAGATAAGGATTATTTTGCAATTTTCTGAATTGATTATTTCATTTACCTACTTAATGTCGTATCGTAACATACTTCCTTAGTCAAGTATTCCGTTTTATGATCAATTTAATTTAATTTTAAGTTGTTAAGAAAATTTTTTGCGTGATTTATGCACTAGGATACAAATCAATAACTGTATGATGAAATTCAATTTGTTTGTATTTATAATTTGGACCTCCTTACTTTCCTTACTTATACTATAAATGGGAAAGTGAGTTTGTTTGTTTGTTTGTTCAACTTTAACGCCGTAACTACTAAACCGATTGCTTTGAATTTTTGCAGATGTATAGTTAGAAGTCCGGATTAAATAATAGGGTACTTTTTATCCCGGAAAAATTTGATATTCCCGAGGAAAAACAAAAGTATTGGTATAGATGGGGCTGTGTGTATTGGTATATGTCACATTGGCTTTTTATCCTTTTGTGACGCGAGCGAAGCCTAAATATGATAATTGTTTTTTTTAATTCTGATTTGTATTTTATTATTGTATGCCTCTACGGCGGGACGTTATAGACCTGTATTTATGATGCATACCTATAGTCCACAATAAAGACGATTTGATGATTTATGTTATTGCCTTACATTGTACTAGTGCATAACAAAAAGGCATTTAATGGCTACGGCCGATGAACCTTATGTAGTGTCGCTAATCGATCGGGAGCGCTTCCAATCGCAAGTACAATCGCGTGCGTGCTGCATTTATATTTCTGATACGGCCTTAGGGTGCAATTGAGGTATTAAAGTATTCTGTCTATGCGAAGTCAAGCCGAGTTACTAGTTATTAATTATAGTACGTAGTTAATTTGTAAGATAGGTTCTTTACGTAAAAAATGCTAAATGAATATTCAAATAAAAAAACTACGTTCTACGTTATGCACAAGGAAATCATACAAAATAGACAAATGTTTCAATAATAATCTCGTGTCCGCTTGTGATAAACTTTGAAGCTACAATACGTTTTTTTTTATTTGTGGCTATAGAATAAATACTTATATGCTGCATCACTGCATGGCATGAAGACTTATTAATCAAGGGTGAAGCTCCGTACACCACGTTATGTAGTATAGATGTTTTATCTCACGAGTGCGGGTGCGCCATACTTGTGTGGGTAAGGTAAATGTATTATTGTCTTTGTTTGCGTACGCTTGGGAACACCCTATTTAGGCCGGACATGCCAATTAATGAACTTGCTGCGAGTTACGCACACAAGCGCGCGTCTATACGCACTACAATTACAACTATGGCTCACCCGCGCTCGTGAGATATTAGAACTATAAGTAGCTAGTTGTAGCTGGTTTGATAAAATTATGTTCCAAATTTTTTTTTAACAGACTGACAGCCACAACCTTACTGCATCAGGTGAAGACGAAGTGCAATATGTGAACATAGAAGCAATACCAACCCGTGATGATTTGGAGCGGTTCACATTCCGTATATCGACCGTAGCACTCCGGGACCTGCAGCCCAGGCTGTCGCAGCCAGTGCGAGTACCAGACCATATCTCGTTGCTACCCACACTCATTGAACGATTCGTCAATGTATTCAAACATTATGTGGAACAGAACCCTGTGTATTATATTGATCAAGTAAGTGATGGTATACCTACCCTAATTTAGTGATGGATAATATTTCGAAGCTTCTGTATATTTTATCTGTAAAGTAGAACAAGATGCCATTGGTAAAAAAACTGAGCTAAATTCGCTAAGTAGTTCATTATAGGTACAAATGAATACCTACAGCAAATGTTACGAATGACAATAATTTCTCCATGGCTTTTAATCCTCATGTAAAGTCATTTACAATCAAGAAAAATGGTATACCACTCCCCTAAGAGTTTTGATTCAGAAACTAAATATATTTAATTATTCTGTGTGTTCAGGAGCCCGAACTATGCATTGGGTGCATGCAGTACCCTGCTGACGTGAAGCTGAACCGAAGATGCGCTGCTCCACCCCCGCACCTCGAGGGAGGGCCACCACAGTGCCAACAGTGCAACTGCCGGTAAGATGTTTTGCATATTTGATCTCCTTAAGGTTAAACTAGTCGCGGGCTCGAACTCAATCAAGGGCGTGGCCAAAAAGCGCGCTGTCTCATCTAACATCGTGTGTGACAGAAATAGTACCAGTGATGAGCAGTTAGACGCTATCTATTTGCACGACGTATTGTTCGCACGCACACAAACACAGCAAAACGTCACTGAACGGTGCATATATCTGTGCTGTGTGTGTTTACTCGTAGTAAAGTCGTACACGCTGCTACGATTTTATGATGCTCGCATGAATTTAATAATTATTGTCACAGGGCATTGTAATTACTGACAATTTTTTTATGATATCAACTTATCATCCGATCCGAAGAATCCACGAAAGGGATTTAATTTTATATAATATTTTTTTTCTAAGTACCAATAACTTTATGTACCTACTACAAACTAGCTAGATGCATCTTTTATCTAAATAATACAGTTCAAATGTCATATTTTCATCAGGTTATAATGTTTAACTAATATTATAGTTTGTTTGGTTGAACATAATAATCTCAGGAACTACCTACCTATTTAGGTAGGTACTTACTGGTCTGAATTATTTCCTGAATTTCGAGACAATTGATCTGTCATTATGTTTTCATAAAATTAAATATAATACTTAGTTAGGTACGTCGGTGACTACCTAAGATTACTAGAAGTAGTGATAATACCACATAATTAGATTTTCGTCATTTCGTCCGTAACAAAACTTGTGGACTTCATACCTACATCGTGTAGGTAGGTCCCTAACTCCAACTTCGTGTTAGGTACCTACAGACTTTTTGGCAGCTCGGAACGTAACATAAAGCTGCGCACTAGGTACCTCCCTGACACAAACATAAGTAGAGATACCGGCTCGAATCTTGAGCGCTCGGCATCAAAGTGGGTAGGTATACATTGGCGAGCTAATCACTGTAAAAGGATTTTTGGGAGAAGAATTGTAGGTAGCAACAATCCTTCTCACAATACCTACTACTAAAGAGACTTGATTTCTGCGCAATCTGAGTCAACGCTCAATATTCATGCCGGTATAGTATCTGTATTAGCAGCACAGGAGAGCGCCGCAAGGCTGGGTATAATTGCTAAGGGTTCACCCTTTTAGTTACTTGCTTATTTATTATGCTTTTATTTATAGACAAAAAAAAACAATGAACCTGAAAAATCTTTATTGGTAATCGTAATATTTATCTATATATCTATACATATAATAAATCTGTAGAAAAGTAATTTTTGTACATTGAAGAAATTGACAAAAAAAATAGCCAGTGTGTTAAAAGATAACCAACAGAACCCATTTCCATCATTTTTGAAATTTTTGTCTGTTTGTCTGTTTGTCTGTTTGTTTGTGCGCGCATCACGTAAAATCTACGAATTCAATGCAGACATTGTTAATATATAAAAATTCTACGCAACTCGAGGTGTAACTTAGTTTTTGTTTCATCGAAATCGGTTCACTCTATCAGAAGATATGATTAATTTTGTGAGTTCAAGTAAAATGTTACAACACGCAATTCAGTATAGTACTCGAAATTATATCTTTGGAAATTTTTTTTCGTTTGGTCATTGGTTTGAAGTCCGAAGTAAAGATACTAATTGATATTATAAACAAGTAGAATTTTTTTTTATGTGGGAAAATCATCGATTGATTGCTCCTGCCTAGGTGAGGCGGGAGGGAGTGTCAGACTCTTACTGACTAAAAACCACCCCGTTCCTTCTCCTGCACGTCGAGCCGGAGCCCCGGTTACCCGTTAGGTTCTCCGCGACTCCGAATCGGCATCGGCCCTATTGGGCCCCATCTGTGGTGGTCTGTTGGCTCTTTGAGGCACGCGTGGAACGCGACGCGCTGGACGCTCGGGTTTGTTTCTGGTCGGACGGGGAGCCACCCATGTTCGCCGTCCGCAGGCCCGCGCTTACAGTGGCCGGATATCGTCCCGCGATCCCCGACGCCCAGTGTGTCCTTCACGATGGCTGGGTTGCTGCTGGGATCCGCACCGATAACTGTATCTAATAAAATCTAATTAGATAAGGTATAATAAATTGTAGGGACGACTTACCCATTGTTTATTATGTATTTTCCAATGACACTTGGAAATTCCAAGTGTCATGCAATCAACCAAAACAACTTCACTAAATCACGACAATTGCACGACAGCGCGTGTCGTGCAAATAATAATTGTGCAAAAAATTGTGCAAAAACGCGTGTGCGTCTTCCCTCCGCCCCCGCGCCACTGCCGGGGGAGTTTTATCCAGTGAAATGCACGATAATCCATCACAAAACGAGTGCGTAAAAAAGTACGATTTAGTGCTTTAGAAAATAGCGTTTTTTGAAAAAACCACTGCTTAGATCAATTTCAAATAAATTTTATAGAACTCTATGGTAATTGTGCTGAGTCGGTACGGTCTTCGGTTTGGAGATTTTACACGATTAGTGATATTTTTTAACACCCAAAGTTGCGTTAAAATTGTAAAGAAAAACAAAACTTTGTTGGCTCATAACTTTTTAGTAGTTTTTTTTTTATTTTTTTTGTTTCCGTACCGACAAATGTAATTACAAGATAAAACGATATCGTGTTTAATTTTGTAGGTACACATTCACACTGTCGAGTAATACCACCCCGAACTTTCTATGGAAAAAATATCGACTAGTGTAACCTTAAGACCTTAGAACGAAACACTGTTTGAAAATATGAAACTGTTATGAGAGCTGAGACTGAACAATCGGTATAGTGTTTGTCTGCAACGCGTCGCCGATCTGCCACAGTAATATAAATCTCTCTTAGCTTATAACAATAAGTACTAATAATCTGCTGAATTTGGTTACAACTCAGATCCGAAATCAACGTAGTTGAGAAAAGGTGTATAGAAAAACGTGTGTCCGTGTAGCGTGCTGTGGTGCTGTTCGTGCATGGGCCGCTGGTGGGCGGCGCGGGCGACGGGCCCGCCGGCGGGGTGGCTGGCGGGGCGCGCGAGCTGCCCGGTGTGCCGCGCGCCGTTCTGCCTGCTGGACGTGTGCCCGGCGCGCGCCCCGGCGGCGTCCTGAGGCGCGCGCCCCGCGCTGCTCCTCATCACGCTCAGCCGCTAGAGGACTACGGTGCGGGTCTGTCTCTCCCATTTGTCTCTATACTCACTCAGGTGCAAACATGTCTCCTCTCTTTTATTAACGATTTGACGCGATTGTATACTTCTTAGCGAAAATGTATTTGGTTCCGTTTTCTTTACAACTATGAATTTTATCAGCTCAGTCATGAAATTTTATTGTCTAACTAACACAATGTGTTAAATTCCTTATCGTGTTTTCTGTTTTAAGTTGCTTTCAATGTCTAGAATTCCAAATCAATTAATCAATGTGTGATTCAATTTTGACTATAATTTACATCTTCAATGTGGAGATGGTATTTTGTTAAATAATGGTTTGTTTGACCATTGTGTTAATTTTATCATAATAATAGTTGTGTAATATTTATTGCTGCGCAAGGAGGCTCTGCTTGAAGATTATAATTGATGTGATGATATACTTTTTATTATACCTAAATCGATGTCTATATTATATAGTTGTAAACTTTAACTTATATTGAATATTGTCCATATAAATGTTAGATTTATATTCAAAAGTAGACTTGGATGTTTCTATAACTGGTTTTTTATTGAAACAAAATATATAATAGTCAATTAGAATCCACTAAATAGAATGATTCTTCATATCGTTATCACAGATGCCTACCCCGTCCAAGCTTACTTGATAATAATAATTACCTGGATATATTATTTTTAATAAAATGACATAATAATGTTTAATAGACAATTTTAAACTAGGAATTAATAAAAATAATGTGTTAATTCATAATATTGAATGTGTAGACATTTTAATCGTCTTGGTGTGAAAAATCTACTAAAATATAATTTTAAAAGATTTACGCATCACTTGCATACTATGTAGTTAAGCAAATTGCGACTATATGTGTCTTTTATAATACATGTATTTTGAATATCAAATCAAATATATCATTTTTGTTGGAAATTTATATAATGTAAGATTAATTTATTAAAGCGGGCTATCGTACTTGAACTAATGTTTTGAAGATAAAGTCCTAAGGCATTTTTGCCGTGTGGTTGATGCAAATCGACAGAGGCTCCATCTAGTGACTGCAAATACGATAGCTCTACTAGTAATGAAATTATATTAAAAATATAAATGTCTATTTATACTTAAATGATCTGGAATGCTAATAAATGTATACAATTTTATTAATTTTTATTAATGTTGGTGTTGCACAAGATTGCAATGTGGTACGACAGAGTAGAATAAACTTCTCACGGCCCTTTTTCTTTTTTTTATATATTTGATAGGCCGACGTTTGACCACTTTCGCGCCTGGTGATAAGCGATGATTCGGACTACGATGAAGCACGTCGACCCATAAGCAACCTATTCACTCGGGTCTTAAAGACACCCTTCAGGAAATACAGGTGGTAAAAGTCGACTAAGGGTTTATTACAGGCAGCAATTCTGATAAATGTAATCTTAAAGTGCAATCTCAAACCAGTCTGCGAAGGATGGAGATTATAATATAACAAACTTTGCTTTGTTGACAAGGCCTAATAGCACAGAATAACTGCCATAGTCCAGCAGTACACTAGTCACTAGCCGTTGTATGTGTTTTATAAAGTTAGAAACCTTGCTAACATATAGAGGCTAATTAAGATCGCTATCCATTGAATCACGTGGAACTTACGTCCTTGACCTTTCCCGAAGGACTACACGTGTTGTAAATTACCTAGTTGTTAGCGCTGCGTGACATTTGGCGCCATTTCTAATGGTGGGTGGATTCCACTATAGACATAAAAACAAATTATTTCGATTGTTCAATACAATTAAATAAAACAAAATATTCACACTTTTAATAATAAGTTTTATAATCAACTTAATTTTAGTATTTTTTCAGCAAATTTTTAAGAAATTAGTATGCTCTTTGACGCTGTAAAACGACGTCACAGTACCCAATCGCGTACAAAATTCATAGAAAACTGTCGTTTTTGACAGTTCGAAAAAGTATTGAATTTGACTAGTTGGCTAGAAGGTACCCAATAAAATTGTAAGGGAAAGTGCTGATTTTTCTGCATGGTGATGTCGAGTATAACTTATGAATCTAGGTGAGGTAGGTACAACGTATCTGGATTCTTCTATTTTGGAAGTCCTAGTAGGTAGTTTGACTCTGAAGTTAGGTGCAGTAGGTATTTAGGGTAGTCAAAGTCTATACATATGTAGATACTGTAATTACATCTCATTTAAAACTTTGTATAAATACTATCAAGGACAAGTATTTAATAATAACGCTGTAATTAGTAAAACAACCTTGAGCCTACACTTGACCATCAAAAACTAATTAATCTGAATATATTATTAACATTTTTAGTACACTGTTTAAGGGTAGATACATAATTATAGGGTTTGCACCCCGTGTACTACAATTGACCATTAATTTGTCAGCCATTGATAGGTATAATTAATCTATGTGACAAGGTGAATAGTTAAACGCCGGCCGCCGCCATTATGTAGGTACTGCAGCCCGTCAAATGGTGGTCACTGGTTACTTCTAGTCAAAGAGTATAATAAGTGTAGGGTTCTAGTGCAGTTTGTCAGAAGAGAAGTTTCGTTGTTATTTGTATATGACGTACTGTTCTGGTGTACAATACAATTCTGGAATATTCACCTCGATAAAAGACAAATAGCAGCAGGAAATTATTGTTTTCTCTTTCATCATGAAACAATCTAAAGTGAGCAAAGCCATCCACCAATATTTCAAGAACACAACACTGCACGGTTTCAAATATTTGAGCTCCGTGCATTATGTTGATCGGTAAGTAGGATTTTTTATTTGTTGAATTTTGCTATTTATTCCAATCTTGCGTAAATGAATAATAGGTATCTGTATGTGTCTGTCTTAAGTTCGGTTTTTTGTGCCTATGTAAGCTCCTATGAGCAGAGGATTAAATTACGGATTAAATCTAAAGAGCGCTTAGGCAAGCACCTTATAGGCGCCCCTTATTTTTATTTGGCGCCATCGTCACACTATATGCAGTTGGCAGGGCGTCTCGCGGCGGCCCTCTGTAACCTAGCGCCCCAGACACATGCCTTATTTGCCCTAAGTATAATACGTCTCTGCATAGGAGTAAAGTAGCTTTGCACCTTGAAACCCGGACTTAATTATGCATTACAAGATGACCCACGACTGCGTGGTAGTCAGGTCCTTAACGAGCAGTGTATGGCAGCGTGGTGTGGGTGGTGTGGTGCTGCGCGAGCGCGTGGTGCGCGGGCAGTCTGTGCGTGGTGCTGTGGCGGCGGTACCTGCAGGTGCCGGCGCTGCTCGTGCTCTGCGACGACGACGCGCGCACGCTCTCATACTCGCGCTATGGCGTGCCCACCGTCGCCGCCTGTCTACCACCCGATGTCGTCGCTGATATGTTCCTGCATAGACTGTAAGGGTTACCTGCTTTTTGATTTGATCCCATAATTACACTTGCACAATTTCCAGAAACAACTACTATTATAAATTCACCGTGTCTGCATGCTCTCTCAATTTATCAGTACCTACCTAACCATCAATGTTCATCCTTATCCTTACTATATATATTATATATTATATATATATATATATATATATATATATATATTTACATCCTAGAATCGTTTTGGCGTCACACATGTCGCGCATCATTACGACGTCCCCCAGTTCCCGTTAATTTTTTTTATATGTCTTGATGAATATTGCTTAGTTATTCGATTTCCAGCTTTGTAGGATACGTCATTTTCCGATAATTTTATTTTTCGCGATATTCTTCTTGCAGTCATGCTGCAACATTTTTGAACCCCAAACCATCGTGATAACTAATTGGGCTCCTAGATATATTGATCGTGATTTAACCATGGCTTCGGCTAATTAACGTCCTCACAGCGTGGATGGTATTTGCGAGTGCAACGTTGCCAGCTTTGGGTTCACTTGTCTCTTTCTTTTCCTCTAACAGTATTACAATATTCGTAAAATCTATCAATACATATAGAGGTACTAATGCCCGATATTGGTATAATATTGGTAACAAGATGCAAAAAAAATGAGGTTTCTATGAGATTTTTACATGAGAAGATGCCGCAGTAGGAATAACGTATTTTTTAAATGTTTGCCTAGTCTATTCCATACATAAATACAAATCGGTTCAGCCCGTATGTGATCGGCGCGGCGTACCGGTTTTACAAATTTATCTAAAGAAAGAAACTCAGAACTCAATTTTTATTTCAAAGCAAGCACGAGTAAAATAAGTGAAAGTTTCTTCCCCAGCGGTCATCATGTAAGATCATCTATCATGTAACTGTGAAAGATCATCTAGCTATTGGGCGTCCGTATATAGTTATTAATCATCATCAGCCTATTTAAGTCCACTGCTGGACTAGCACCATCTACTGGGCTACGTTAGGAATTCAAAAATGGTCATGCAAATTTTAGTTGACCCAAACGCTATGGTCAAAAAGTAAAAAGCTATATCACTATAATGCTCACACACGGAAATGGGAGGTCCGTTGATTGCGGATCCTGACAATTGACATGGTAATGGCAGGGGGAGCCTGACGATGGCCATGCGCGCGAAGAAAGTTTCTTCCTCAGCAGGTATCACTTAGCTATCGAACGTCCGTATATAGCTATTGGGCGTCCGTATATAGCTATTGAACGTCCATATATAGCTATTGGGCGTCCGTATATAGCTATTGAACATCCACGTACTTCCTCAGCAGGTGTCATGTTAGATTTGAGGAGTGGCTTGAGAGACAGAGACGCTACGGCGTCCTTATCTACCGCCTGACGCAGGTGCTTACCGGACACGGAATTTTCGGTAGGTTCCTGCTTCGGATTGGGCGGGAGGAAACGCTCAGGTGTCATCATGGTGAGAGCCACCCGGGGGACACGGTGGAGCATACGGTGGGAGTGTGCCCTGCGTGGGCTGAACACCGTCGTGTCCTCAGGAATGTGATCAGCGACAGCGACCTCTCGCGTCCGACACTGGTTCAGACCATGGTACAGAGTGAGGGAGACAGGGATGCCGTCTCCTCCTTCTGCGAAGGAGTCCTGCTAGCTAAGGAGGAAGCGGAGCTCGTGAGGGAACGAGCCTCCTCACGCTCCAGCCGTCACGAGAGACACTCCAGGCGTCGGGGATCGCGAAACGGTCTCCGTCCACCGTAAGCACGGGCCTGCGGTCGGCGAGCACGGATGACTTGCCGCCCGATCAGAACCAGACCCGAACATACGGCGCGTCGCGTTCCGCATACGCCCCAAGGAGCCATCAGACCACCACGGATGGAGCTGATGCCCATACGGAGCCACAGAGGACTTAAAGGGTGACCGGGGCTCCAACTCGAAGTGCAGGAATAGGAACGGGGTGGTTTTAAGTCAGTAAGAGTCGGAAGGTACCTGTGTCTGATGGGGCGGGAGGAAACGTCAGGGTGTCATCACTGTGAGGACCGCCCTGAGGACACCGTGGAACACACTATAGCGGAATGCATTGCGTGGGCTGAGCACCGCCGTACCCTCAGGGAAGTGATCGGCGATGGCGACCTCTCGCGTCCGGGCCTAGTGCAGACCATGATGCGGAGCGAGGGGGACTGGGATGCCGTCTCCTCCTTTTGCGAAGCAGTCAAACTAGCTAAGGAGGAGGCGGGACGCATGAGGCAGCGAAGCGCTGCCTCCTCGCAACCCAGCCATCGCAAAGGACACACCGGGCGTCGGGGATCGCGGGACGATCTCCGGCCACCGTAAGCGCGGGCCTGCGGACGGCGAGCATGGGTGGCTCCCCATCCGACCAGAAACAGACCTGAACGTGCGGCGCGTCGCATTCCGCGCGCTCCTCAAAGAGCCTTAAAACCACTACAGATGGGGCCCAACAGGGCCGAGTCGGAGTCGCGGAGAACCTAACGGGTAGCCGGGGCTCCGGCTGGACGTGCAGGAGAAGGAACGGAGTGGTTTTTAGTCAGTAAGAGTGACACTCCCTCCCGCCTTACCCAGGCGGGAGCAGTCAATCGATGATTTTCCCCGCTTAAAAAAAAAGTCAGTAAGAGAAACTTCCTCTGAAACTTCCACATTGGCGGCAAAAGGCATTGGATGATTTTTTATCCCTCAAAAAAAAGGTATCATGTTAGATCACCTAGCTATTGATGGTCAGTATATTGCTGTTGAACGTTCGTATATAGCTATTGGACGTCCGTATATAGCTATTGAACGTCCGTTTATAGCTATTGGACGTCCGTATATAGCTATTGAACGTCCACGTTTAGCTATTGGGCGTCCGTAATTAGTAAAGATAATAAGAATATATCTTATTACTAGAATGGTTTTATTAAGTATACCTCTATATGTTCAAAACTTCTTTCATTTAGGCTGGGTTCAGAGCTAGAGGATTGGGCAGCGCTGCTGAAGTGCCTCGCGCTTGGAGATGATGAGAGCTCTAGCATCGTTTTATTGCGACGCGACTGTCATAGAGGTAGAGGTCCCAGTAGAGGACTTTATCGCTAGAAATTATGATCTATGAGATACACTTTTATTTTAATCTAAACCTTAAGTAACTGAAACCGCACCTAATCTGATCTTTGTGCGCAAATATTGTATTGAATTTCAATTTCATTTAAGGCAAGATTCCTAATTTAATACTTCTAGTTGTGGCCACTCGATTAACTCCTCTATTGGATTGTTGCCTGATGCCTCTGTTGTTGAAGCCCGCGCTTCAGCCGCGCTGCCCATATCCCCAACCTTTGAAACCAGCTCTAATTGTATCAAATATTTAATTGGCAGCTTATTGATATGAAGTTACCAATTCTAAGTAAGCAAATAAAAACAAAGAATATGGATATCATTTTACTGCCTCGTTGGCCGAGTGGTCGCAAGTGCGATCGCCTGGCAAATAGTCTCGGGTTCCATTCCCGGGTTGGGTAAAGTATTACTGGGTTTTTTCAAGAGTCTGGAAGTGTGCCCGGTATATGGCAATAAACTCACCCCCTATTACATGGGACTCATAACATAAATAGTAAAACTGTAGATATTACATTGTACAGTGGCATTAAGTGCCGTAATGTGCATCTCTGCTTACTCCTTCGGGGAAAAAGGCGTGATGTTATGTTATGTTAAATATGGATATCACTTTTAATGAAGTGTTTATGTTTTGTAATCAAAAACATTTATAATTCCTAATTGGATCTTTATAACACGCCAAGGCTAGTAATAAGAAGACAAACGTTGATTGATTTGATCAGTAATACAACATTAATTAATTATTCAGTGTTAGATGCATCATCTAACCACATAAATAGATAAAGTTAATAAAATTACGTCAAAATTTATACGGAGACTATACTATCAAAATACACATTTAATACGAGTTAAACTCTGGTTAACTTTTTTGTGGTAAGACATATAATTTTGTCACTTTAGTACTTATTTCTAAGATCCCTTTAAGGAATTAATTTATACCCTCATCTATTATATATATCACTGATAGGTACTCATTTACAAATTGAGAACAGGGTTGCAGATAAGTTGTCGTAAGTTGCAATCACATGATTATAATAAAATCGGACTCCAAATAATACGCAACACATCCGAAATGTACGACGATGAATATTGTTTTGAATGCGGTAAATAATATTATGAACTATTTCCACGGATTTAATGAGCGAACTGGCAACGTCGCTGTTATTTTTTTGAGGACGCCAAATACGCGGACTTATAATCAGAAAATCCCAAAAATATACAGCTGTGGATATACGCGCTACAGCAGCGCTCTATCTGCGCTGAGATTTCTTTGGGAACTTTTCAAAATACTATAACAGCCATTGAACCGATCTTTTGGCCTCTGTCGATTTTTAACCTACGTGCAGCCAGGACCAAAAGGACCTAAGTAGCATAGGCCAAAAAAGTGGCGTCCGGTATGCGGACGCCACAAGCTGGTGGACGCCAGATTAAATGCACTTTCGCCTTCATGGGACGTCCAATCGATAGCGGGATGTAAATATATATATATATATATATATATATATATATATATATATATATAATATTATAAATCTGAAAGTGAGTTTGTTTGTTTGTTTGTTTGTTCCACCTTCACTCCGTAACTACTCAACCGATTGCTTTGAATTTTTGCAGACGTAAAGTTAGAAGTCCAGATTAAATAATAGGGTACTTTTTAACCCGGAAATAATTGATATTCCCGAGGAAAAACAAAAGTATTGGTGTAGATGGCGCTGTGTGTATTGGCATATGTCACATAGGCTACTTTTTATTCTTTTGTGACGCGAGCGAAGCCGCGGGTAAAAGCTAGTGTAACATAAATTTTTCCCAGGTCATCAAACTCGACGTTAACAGAACAGATACCCTCATCATTAGCGCGGGTTCTAGCTGGAAAACCAACGTTAACAGATCAACTAGAATTGTTTGATGATCTCCTGGCTTCAAATAATACGACTCTAGCACATATGATGATGAACCATGCTCCCAATTGTGATGAGGAGGCGACCATAAAGTGCAGGTATCAGAAGAGAATGGTGCCGTGCCAACAACTGTTTGAGAAGAAGCTCACTTACTGGGGAGTGTGCTGTGTCATGAGGCCTGAGAAGTAAATAGTTGATTTATTTATTAATTGTGCAGCGTGCGCGGTCGCAGTGAGCTGCGCGACGTCGCCGCGACCGCGCACGCTACTCATGAGGAAGAACCCCTCTGTAGTTCGAAACTAGTAGAGCTTTTCTCTGTATATTCACGTGAGTAACCCGCGTTTTTACTTAATTTAGTATGTCTCACGATTTATTTATTTATTAAAAATTGGACAGATGTCTGTAAATAGGTTTCCGCTATTTCGTGTTAGTGTTATTTCGCAATGGTTTTCTGTGAGGCCGTGATAATCACTTCAGGCGAGCTGATTAGGTATGTACGTAGTGTGTAGGTAGGTATTATATCAATGTATGTATGTATTCCAGATTACTCCCAAAGTTCAACACTGGGCTGGTGAGCAGGTCTCACACGATGCAGTCCTTGGAGTTGGTGCTGCAGTGCAAGCGTGGCCCTTTTCCGACTGTTTGCCAGGTAACATTTATTTCATTTATTCTGTTTCATGTCACACGATATGCTCAAATATTGCCTGAGAAAGTTCTAAAACTGTCAGAGAAAAATGGGCTGCAATATTGTTTAAATTCTTTAATTTTTCGGTAACTTGGCTGTAATCCCAAGCTATTTGCTTACAATGGGGCTTAATAGAAAGAAGACGGAAGCATTGTTGAGTGGCTACTTAGATTATTAGCAATCCTAAACGAACGAATCCGAAACGAAAACGCCTTATAATTATTCCCATTGCAGTTTCTAACGTATTACAAAGGCGAGGAGTGGGTGCAGCCTAATATCCTGCATCCCAGCAACTACTACATGGGGCACCTGGTGTTCACACTCATACCTGACGAGTCGACCAGCCTCGTGGAGACCGTCTGTTCGCATGACCCAAACTACTCTCGAACTCATTGTATGGTACGTCTACGTATAAGACATGGCTAATTAACAAACTAACCAGTAAATACTGTAATGTTAATCCTGTAGACAGCATATGCTGTATTTTATTATTTCACACTTAATACTTGTGGCTTCTCAGTTGTCGCGGCCGACCGTGGGTGGCGCTGATTGCTTACCACCAAGTGACCCCTCTTCTCGTTTACCCCCCATTCTATAAAAAGGACACTGTTTTAATTTTTCTAGTTTTCCTCAGCTTTTTAACGTAAAAACTGTAAACTGTGATGTCTATTTTTTTGCAGCGAAAATGTGCTGAAAAATCCTGTGGGTGTCGCGATCCTCTGTTTAAACATGTAAAGAGTGAGTCAGAGTTACCTGTCTGTAGCACCGCGCGCCTCATCTGCTTGAGATCTTATGACCTTAAGCAACATGGTTAGTAGGTACCTACCTACTATACATATGTATTTATAAAGGAATTACCTAATTTGAGTTATTTAATAACAAGTCTAACAGTATTTACCGTTGTCAAGATATTGGGCAAAATAATAATTTCTTTATTTAAAAGTACCCTTAACCGACGAGCATCGACTCAGACTGATGACTGTTGATGAAGGCTATGTAAGAATCGTAGCATTTGGCCTACCCTCATGGGAGACAGGCGTGAACTTATGTATGTACCTAATAATTTATTGGGGAAAATGTAAATTAAGATTTTTTTATTTTAGAAAACATATCCTGCAGCTGTCTCCCACCTTGTAGGAAGATTACCACTACAATGGTACTAGAATCGAGTCCAATGAACCAGATCAACAATACTATCGATAATTTATTGTAAGTAGCATATTTATTTATTTATTTATTTAATCTTTGGAATGTTTCAAGTCCTAGAAACAAACAATATAATAAGCACCTGCTTAGGATTATTATAATGTTTTACCAAAGGCGTGCGGTCCGTGTATAGTATATGTGAGGAGGTTATACGCCGGGGTCGTGCGGTCCATGGCCCTCTACGGCGCCCCTGTTTGGGCGCCTAACCTGTTGCGGCGTCCCGCTCGGACGCTGCTCATGGCACAGAGGGTCATGGCGATCCGAATGATCCGCGGATACCGCACGATCTCTGGGGAGTCGGCGAACCTCCTTGCCGGATTACCGCCGTGGGATCTGGAGGCGAAGGTGCTCGCGCGCGTGCACAGCATGCGCGCGGAGGCACGTCGCCGGGGCGAAACTCCGCTGCCGCGCCAGATAAGTGCGTGGCGGGATGAGCTCCGGCGCGATCTCATGGCGGAATGGCAGCAACGACTGTCGCAACCGAGGACTGGGCTCGCTGCCATCGCAGCGGTAAGTCCCCTCTTTGAGGAGTGGCTTGAGAGACGCTACGGCGTCCTCACCTACCGCCTGACGCAGGTCCTCACCGGACATGGCAGTTTCGGGAGGTACCTGTGTCTGATGGGGCGGGAGGAAACGCCCGGGTGTCATCACTGCGAGGACCGCCCTGAGGACACGGTGGAACACACGGTGGGAGAATGCCCTTCGTGGGCTGAGCACCGCCGTGTCCTCAGGGAAGTGATCGGCGATGGCGACCTCTCGCGTCCGGGCCTAGTGCAGGCCATGATGCGGAGCGAGGGGGATTGGGATGCCGTCTCCTCCTTTTGCGAAGCAGTCATGCTAGCTAAGGAGGAGGTGGGACGCGTGAGGCAGCGAAGCGCTGCCTCCTCGCAACCCAGCCATCGCGAAGGACACACCGGGCGTCGGGGATCGCGGGACGATCTCCGGCCACCGTGAGCGCGGGCCTGCGGACGGCGAGCATGGGTGGCTCCCCGTCCGACCAGAAACAGACCCGAGCGTACGGCGCGTCGCGTTCCGCGCGCGCCTCAAAGAGCCATCAGACCACCACAGATGGGGTCCAATAGGGCCGATGCCGATTCGGAGTCGCGGAGAACCTAACGGGTAACCGGGCTCCGGCTCGACGTGCAGGAGAAGGAACGGGTGGTTTTTAGTCAGTAAGAGTCTGACACTCCCTCCCGCCTCACCCAGGCGGGGGCAGTCATTCGATGATTTTCCCCCCTTAAAAAAAAAAAAAAAAAAAAAAAATAGTATATGTGAATGTATATTTATGTTAGCCGTTTTTTTACAAACTTTTATTATATTACTAGCTGTGCCCGCGACTTCGTTCGCGTGGAATAGTGACTATGAGCAGCGTTTTTTTTTTAAATATATACTCACGACGTGATTCTTTAATTTGACATAACTTTTTTATTTATGAACCGATTGACATGAAACAAACACTAAAGCATAACGGAAGCATACCACAATATATTCGTGAAAACCGCATCCAACTCGGATCAGCCGTTTCTGAGATTAGCGTGAACAGACAAACAGACAAACAGACAAAAAAAAAGTTCATTACATTTTTGGGTTCGACATCGACATAACAATAACCCCTGCTATTTTTTTTATTTTTATTTTCAATGTACAGACAGCACTTTTCTACAATTTTATTATATGTATAGATATAGATTGAATCTTAATAAACGCGTTTGTACATTTTATGTCAAGCAAAGCCTTTCTGCCTATATGGACTGCACGCCACTATGTTTTACGGTACATTTACATAACACGACTGGTTTAATAATGCAGCAAACTCTAGTGCGCGACATTTATCGTGTCGTCGCTAATGGCTATCAGCCCCGGGTGTGGCTTGAAACAAGTTGAATCAAAAAGTTGCGTGAGTTAGCCTCGTAACTGAACAGAGATAAATTTAATGGTGTCTTAGTAATTATTTTAATGATTTGATTTATTTATTGGAGTTGAGCCTTTCTAATTGAATTCCTTTCAGCTCTGGAATCGATGTAGCGCGGTCCGTAGTGATGAACTTGAGAGTAAATCTGCACCATTCGCAAGTATTTCTACTGAACCCCACTGAAACATGGGTCACTTTATTATGTACGTACCTTCTATTTAGATATTAGGTATAAACTTTATCGATAGATAATAGATCCCACCCTTCATCGTGGCGGCCAGGAGGTTGACGCTTCTCATGCATCTTCATTTCTAATTATAGGTTTCAAATCGCCAACCCGCAATGAGCAAGGGTGGTGATTAATGCTTAAACCTTCTCCGTGTGAGAAGAGGTTTTGCTCACCCGTGGCCACTTATAGGCTGTTGATGAATAAGCCTTATCAAAATATCTATTTACTTTGGTCTTTAAATGACTCGTCGTTAGACCCGTAACCTTCCCTTATAGAGGTATTACTGAGACTACTGAGTCATACTTCATCATGAGTGCCGCCGATTATTTTCAAAGAAGCGCAAATATGTATCTACTTCTATTTAAAAAAAAACCTCTTTTTCAGGGTACAAGTCTACATGGATTTTGCACATTTTTTGCTACGCATATGCATTGAGGGTAGACCCTCGGAGCACTTTTAGAAGGTTCTTTTATAAGAACCTTCATAGATGAAGGTCAATTAAAATCCAGGCAGAGGTGCACATTACGGCACTTAATGCCACTGTACAATGTAACACCCACTTTTCACTATTTATCCAAGAATCCTCATAAATAAAATCGATGTGTGTGTGCAGTAATTTTCACGTGTTTGTCTATAAAATAATAATGTAATTATTTTCAGCATCATTAGGAGGAGTATTCAACATGTTCCTGGGTGTCGGTTTGTTTAGTGCTTTGGAGTTGATATATTTTCTTATGATAAAATTACCAGTAGCAATAAGGAAGTCTTCTGAAGTTGATCATACAAATAAGTACACTACGCCAGTTACTTTAAGGTAAATTATTGGATACCAGCCACTGAATTACTTAGCTCACAATCAATATTTGTGGTCTGAGAAAATTAGAAAGGATGAGTAATGAAGTGAAATGGAATATTATTGGAATAAAATAAATATGTTCTCAAAATTGTGTATTTTTATTAGGTATACACTAGTTTCTCTGCAGCCCTACACTTTATAACTATTACTGATGATATAAAGTTATGGAATTGCATATTATTGTATTTGTGATGTTTTCACAAATGTACAGTTTGCAAAACAGTTTGGAATAATTGAGGTCACACCTGTGGCAACCATATACAACTCAATAGGTTTTGATAGTTGTTATTTTTATCAAGTACTATATTCGGATGATTGCTTGTTCATAGGATATGGTCTGAAGTAGATGATTCTAACCAAATCAATATTAATCCCAGCTGTAACTGCTTCAAACTCTTTTTTACCAAGCTGTTCTAAGTTTTATTATGTTGATAATATTTTATATAATTCTTCAAAGTATTACTCAACCATACTCGGTTAGGTTTATACTCAAAGTAGGTAGGTAATCCTAATTAACTCGTCGAGTACCGGTTTTATAGACACAATTAAAGAACAATAGGTCGCGGTCACCGGTGACCCCTTGGTGTTTGACAGTTTAATAAAAACATTTGTGTGTGTGAAAGATAAATGTGAGCAATATGTTGGTAGCATTCAAACAATAGATTCTTCATAATCGGATGTTTCAAGTAAAGGTGGGATAAGCCGCTAGTAAATTATGGTAAAAGAAAAGCAAAAAACTTAATTAAAACTTATAATTAAAGTAAACCTTATTCTAATAACATTATATATCTTATAGTACAGGTTCGGGTTGCTGTGTCAATAGGAGGCCGAATCTCTTCTTTATGATTATCCTCTGCCTGGAGTACTTGTCTTCAGGAGAAAAGCGAGCTGAAACAAATTAAGACACCTTGTTATTACAAATGTTTGTTAGTCTCCATAGAACAAGGAACATCGTTGAAACAGTTTTCTATTATAATACATTTGAATACAAAAAGTCTACAAATCTGTACTAATATTATAATGAAAAGCCTGTTTGACAAACAAATCATCCCATTTTAATGGACGCCAAAACTACCGGATCAATTTAGAAATAAAGTTCATAAAACAATCCCAAATGACGAGAATCTCGCGAAAGTAGAAAAAGATAAAGCAAGTAAATATCATGATTTAACTCATGAGATTGTCGACATGTGGGATGTGAATTCAGTAGTCATTGTGCCGATAGTCCCTGAGTAGGCTAGTGTTAGATGGTTGGGTCAAGGGCCTGATGCAGAAAGCAGTACTTCAGGACACGGCGCGTATTTCTCTCTGGAGCCCTGACCATCGGTAGCTTGGATTTCTCCCATCACTGGTGGGCTACTTCTTTTTATATTTTTAATATATAATTTTATAATAATGGCTAAAGTACTGTACCTACTACAGATGTAAAACTACAACACTGTATATTTAATAGAACTACATTGTTATATTTACCTGGATGAGCTGATATCGTCGGCTTGCCATGAGGATCAATCGTCTGAAAATAAAAAGCCACGAAATGTAAAATATACCACGAGTATCATATCAATATATCATCCAGTCTAGTAAATCCTGGACAAAATTCCGCTCATAATGTAACTGTTGTTTTGTATTTTATTGTTAGTATTTATGCTAAGAGTTGCAATAAAATTTTCAGTTGAATTTATTGCAAATCATAAGGCTAAATTAAGTTGAAATGTGGTATTTTGTAAACAAACACGTGAGTTAAATAGGTTATACAGATATTATGATTTCTGAAATTACCGATAGTGTGTACTGCCTTTCACCCTTCTCGTTTAAATAATATCGGAGATACATGATGGATTCCTTGTTTTCACAAAGTCAACAATATAATCAATATTTGTGATAAAATTCTTCTCGGTAACGTAGGTAACACTACACAAGCGATGCGTCTCCTCAGCCGTCAGGATGTGGTTGATTGACGTTGACATGATATTGAATTTGACAAAGACATTTGCTTTTAATTTTTTACTACTTGTCAATGGCATCGACGTTATGCCTTAGTTGAACACTAGTCTTTTTAGTAAATGTTAAATATTAAAAAAATAAAACACAATTTACAGTTACACAAACACAAATGAAGTGACAAGGAGCCGTACCTGTCGGTTTGAACCACTCTTGCTACTTATTTTAATACTATGATTTGTTAAGCCTTACGCCTGTACAACATTTAAATATAAGTACATTTAATTGTAATGTCTAGCGACTCGACCCCGCAGTCAAACCATTCCAACGGTTTTGTGGGGCTTAGATTATAAGATACTTACCTGTGTTTTTAAATAAAATTAATAAAAAAAAAAAGCATATATGCAGTTAAAAACTGCTTCAGTGTAGCGTTATGTATGTCAATAAAATAGGACACCGGGGTGGGTTTTAGTCAGTAGTTGTGTGACAGTCTCTTTCGTCCTCCCCAGGCGAGGGGGAGCTCCATGAGAATTTCTCACATTGGGGTAAAAAAGGTAATAATATTTAAGTTCACTCCAGATCCCAAGGTCTGGCCATTCAAATACAGTATAGGTATAACCAACCCAAAACCAACATGTATTGGAATTTTATTCTAAGTAATCTTTTCAAACTACAAGAGATTACCATGAGATTACCCTACATTCAGCCCTCTCCTTTTTTATCTCGTCTAAGCACTGACTACAAGGAGAAATACAAGAAGCTGACGGCCGACCTTCAACATTTAAGAGGTACTATAAGAAGAAGAAGAAGCACTGACTCGATGGAATGTTTTCGATCACTGGTTTTGTATGTCGTCATTTGACAGCTGACATAGTTTGACATTTGACAGTTTCATTTCTTGATGTCAAGAACACGTGCACACAGTACCTATGTTGTTCAGTCTGTACCTCCAACAAACGAAATAACGGATTTTGTTTAATTAAATAAGCAAAAGACTGCTTACAGACCATGTCTTCGTGGAAGAAGGCCGCTAAGGCTAACCAGAAGACTCATAAGGAGCGTCATCAGCCAGAATCTAGAAAACATTTGGGTTTACTTGAGAAGAAGAAAGATTATAAGAAACGAGCTGATGATTACCATGAAAAGGGCGAAACTCTTAAACTTTTAAGAAAACGGACACTAGACAAAAATCCTGATGAGTTCTACTTTCATATGATCAATTCTAGAGTGAAAAATGGGGTGAGTAAAAATTCTAGAGTGAAAATTGTGTAATATTTTAAGTGTGGTAAATAAGTGAAGTTTACAATGTGTGTTCTAGGATTGAATGTGTAAGGTATAATATAATGTAAAAATTACCTATATCAAACCTAAAATTTATATCTTTGATGTTATTTTTTAAACTCAAACTCAAACTCTTTATTTGCATGTTAAGGTAATACATAGGTCTTATGAAATAACAGGCACAGCTTAATGGCCTTTTTCAGGCGTTGCAAATTTTAGGGGTGTCACCAGCTATTTTAATCCTCTATTAAAGTATTTATTATTTTATCTGTATAGGAACATCATGAAATTGAGAAAGAAGATGAGCACAGCAAAGAGCAGGTGAAGTTGATGCAGACTCAGGATCTCAAGTACATCAATATGAAGAGAACCATTGAGAGCCGCAGGATTAACAGGCTACAGGTACATAGTTTATAGTACTTCTTTTTTATCAGACAATTACTTTCAATAGAAATATAATTTCCTAGTTATGTTAGTATTAATGCCAAATAATGATTGTATACTCTCATTAATATTCTATCCTTGTAAGTTATATCAGATATAAAAAGTAGAAAGTTTCTAAAGGCAAAGTCAAAGGCATTTATTTAAATTAACTTGTACACAATCATCTGATATAAATCCCCAAAATTTGTGCATACAAAACTAGTCTCTATACATCGGAAATAAGGTCTATAATAAAGTTAGTGGAGACTGGTGACTGGTGACCCCTTGGGGATTGAACAATTCATAATTTGGTACTTTTGAAACATCAGCAAATATAGATTAAAATAATAGTCTGTCAGTGAAGCTAGATGCTCGTTCCAAGATGTAGATTCTATCAGCTTTAAACTGTCAAACACCAAGCGGTCACCGGTGACCGCAACCTATTGTTCTTTAATTGTGTCTATAAATACGGTACTCGACGAGTTAATAAGAAAAAAACAGAAGATAGCCTTTTTTCTACCAATTACAATTCTAGTCTAGGCTGTAAAATAAACAGAAAATGATGAATTACGTAGAATCAATAAATATTGGTCTTATTTTGCCTTGTACTCACTGTTTTAAGGTACCCTAAATAATTCAAAGTTCTGTTCCCCAGGCTCAGCTCCACATGTCAGATGTAGCAGAAGTGACTCCAAACACACACACATTCTTTGTAGAAGAAGGAGAAGAGAAGGAGTTTGACCTTGCAAAGAGACTGGACACACATCCTGCTCTATTGGGCAGGAAATCGAATAGGCCTCGGCTGTCTGACTTGGATAAAATTACTCTGCCGGATATTAGTGATGAGGTAAGATTTTTATTTTGTAACAAGTAATAATTCTTCTGAATCCCATTTTTTTTTTATACAGTAGTGCCAATAAAAGCACACTACCCATCTGATTGTAATTGGTTACAGTGGTTTATGAATGCTTGCAACATTAACACGTTCAGACCAGCGTGTACCACCAGTGGAGCACAGAGTGTTTGCTGCCACGGCGAGGTATACCACCGGTGGTACATGCCGGTCTGAACGTGTTAATAAACCTCTACTCCTTTCTTGAAGAACCCCATATTGTAGCACACCAGGAAAACCTCCCCATATACTGAATGTTTACATATTCAATGTAAACAGTAGTAGTAGTAGATGCATATTATTAAACCTAGTATTCATTCACCTCACAAAATAGTAGGCACATACTGTTATGTTGGTGGATTGATAATAGTAAGATTTATTTTACTTGGATTTATTATAATAATATGCAGAGTGCACAACGTCTATACACACCAGAGTATGACAGAGAGACAGCGACATTATTGACAAGTGTCCTACCTTATATAATACATTATAGTGAGTGGGCCACTACTTACTAAAATAGTTATGTTAATACATACATGTAACACATACTATTCCTTCATCGCTTAAAACAGTTTCGGTAAGAATTTAATGAACAGAGAGAGATAAAACCTAATCCTGACAAAAGTTTTCGTCTGAATTCAAACAACAAAAGTTATTAAAGAAATACTTTTACCAACCACACAGTTTTTACCATCACCATCTAACCATTTCAGGCCCTAGAATCAATGAAGAAGAAAAAACAGAAGATTTACAGTGAGCTATCAAAGAGGATAGAGAGGGAGAAGGAGTTGACAGTAATACAGCAGAAGATGGAGTTGAAGCGTCATCTACAGGATGTTAAGATTATGAAACCGAGGAGGTTAAAACCTGGTACTAAGAGTACAGCCCCAGTGTATCAGTTCCAGTATATGAGGAAGAAGTGACAAAGTAAAGTGTGTTCTAGGATTGAATGTGTAAGGTATAATATTCTTTTGCACTTTGAAATGCATACAGAAACTCTAAATAAAAGTTATGATCATCAAACAATGTGTATTTAAAGAAATAAATAAAGTGAAGGTGCTGTTACATCTATTCTTCTATTCTTTATATATATAATTCTTCTGTGAGTGTGTATGTCACTGAACTTCTCTCAAACGACTGGACTGATTTTGATGAAATTTTTTGTGTGTGTTCAAGGGGATCTGGGAATGGTTTAGATTCACAAATCAGCCCGGCAGATGGCACTGCAGTCGTTGTTTAGGTTATTTATCCTAAACAGCTGAACTAATTTGAATGAATTTTCTTTTATACATTCAAGTGGATATGCAGGACAACGTCTGTTGGGTCCGCTAGTACATATATAAAAATGAAACCCGTTTCCCGTTGTCACGCCATAACATGAGAACGGCTAGACTGACTTGGCTGTTTTTTTTTTGTTGTGTTTGTTATTGTCAAGAGAAGGTTCTTATGACAAAAAAAAATCCTGAAATTCCTATGGGAACGGGAGAAAACGGGATTGCGCGTACGAAGTCGCGGGCAGAAGCTAGTATGCTCTAAAATAGCATGCTAGAAAGCGTTCTATTAAGCATGCTTAAAAATATTAAAAAATCGAACGCTTGTCGATTCGTAAGCATGCCTGCAATGAACATTCTAATTTTGAGCAACATTTCGACACATGTCATGTTACTAAGTGACAAGTGCTCAACTGAAGCATGCTTTAGTGCTTGTAAATAACATGATTGTGTAATAGTACCTTGAAAACGTTGTTTGATAAATTATGTAAGGTTGTATTGAAAAATACTACTAAAGGAAAAATAAAAAACTTGAAATAATATCGAATTCTTTTTAATTTGTTCATAATAAATAATTTTTGTTCACTATGTTAATTGATGCACTCCAGTTATTGCGCGATATAATGATATTAGTTACAAATTCAAAATGGTCACTGAATTAAATAATATCATTTGGAAATTATTATTGGTTGAACTTAAAATATATTTTAACTTCACAATATAAAGCTAAAATATTTTTTAAATTGATTAAGAAATGTATTAAAGTTCTTAAAGCTAAAAACTTAAAGAAACACATAACTTAAACCTAATTACAATACTTATTTTAGAATTAATTTATCTATGGGTAACGTTAATTGATAGTCAACAACTTCACTGTTCGAATTATTTCTCATTCAATAAGTAAAAGTTCAGCTATTTCTTAACACAAAACTTACAAGCAATATAGAAGTCACATTTCTTTATAATAGTCATAAACAAATTAATCAACCTCTTTTTTAGATACAGAACGTTTGTCTATATGTTCACGAAATCAGTTTGAATAAAGAAGACAAGACATTCCATATTTGAAATAGGTCCACATTATTTTGTTTTCTACCAGTCTGTACAAAATCAATCATTATTCAAGTCACAAGTTCATCACACAATAACACAGCACAATAAAGTATTAACAAAATAAATGACTACTTAACTTATTATAAAAAGTTCCATCGCAAAATATCAAGAGTGCATCGCAGTATAAAACTTGTACGTAAACCCTAAGGCGGTAACTTTAGGTAATCTAGAAGTCTTTGGTAGTCCTATAGCTAAATCACAGTGTCACCAGAGCACGCACTTATGTTCCGGGTTCATCGGCGACCCGAGTGGACAGCTCCAGGCTTCCGCAAACTCCTTGGAGTTGCTCAGGGTACCGATGACTCGGATCTTGTTCGGACTGTGGACGCCCTCCACCATTTTGGATTTTAAAGCGCCCACTGTCGAGTTGCCGCACCATATCTGTTAATATAAAACAAGTTATGAGTCCTTGTCGAAGCTCGAAATTAGTCGACCATCCTTGAGTCAGTTGCTGTTCTATCGATTTAAAATCGATTTTAGGATTTCCGCCTAATAGGATATCTAATTCTAATCAAGATGTTATGTAGTATTAAAAAATAAGTAGGTAAGTACTCATATTTCCCTTAGTCATTCATTTTCTATGGAATCGTCATCTATGGGTAAATACGAGCTGTAAAATCATTGACGATTTAATGATGGGGAGTGTTTACCTGTGCAAACCCTAAGAAGAAGAGTTGGTGCGGCTTGTAGTGCGGCAGGCCGGGCAGCGCCACGCGGCGCTCGAGCGGCGCGCGCGCGCCCAGCAGCGAGTATGCGCGCAGGGCGGCGCGCAGCCCGCCGTTGTCCGCGATGTTCTCGCCCTGCGTGTTGAACCCGTGCACCTGCCACACGCAACTACATCATGCTCCCGAACACAACGGTGCGCCCACATCTAGTGAATGCGCCGCTCGCATTCTACGCGTTTGCATAGTCGCACATAACCCGCTGCTACGAAGCGCTTTTCGTACAGACTGTATTAGCATTTCGTACCTACCAGTAAACCTTTTTTCCAAAAAACTTAACGTCACATTTCTCCATCCGCGAATAGTATATAAGACTATGCTCAGCAAGAGACTCCGTCATTAGGTACCGTCCTCTAGAAATAGCTAGTATGGCACTAGTACTCACGGTGTAGTTGGGTAGTTGCGGCATGTGGTACTTGCTGTACTGGTCGATGATGCACTGGACCTTGCTGTGGTAGTGCTCCAGGGTGGCCGCCGACCACCACTGCTTCAGGTTGCCCTCCTCGTCGTAGCGACGACCTGGACACCATACAGGAAGTAAAGAAGACAGTACATTGACACAGGTTTATAAGACAAATAGATACCTATTAATTTATTAATGTCAATGATTTACATTGGCATTCATACATAAGTATCTATTTTTCTTTCATTATTTAATGTTAATCTGCTATTTGCTCATAACTTCATGTTCTGTACCTACGTCAATATATAGACATAGGATCTAGATTTTCTTGCACAAGAATCACCATCCCTTGGTGGAAACCGCAAAGAAATTAATTCGGTAGATTTACAGATAAGCGCTGCTTAAGCAACTTATTTAATTCGAACTACATTCAATACCTAATACAGAAGATAATGCTTTACCTTGATCGTCAAACCCGTGTGTGACCTCATGTCCCATTATGGCACCAATAGATCCGTAGTTGATCGCTCTGAAACAAATAAAATTAATTTGTAAACGAACATTGAGATAAAATTCAAAAATCAATACCGTTTGGTTTAAAATACTAAGATAGCCAATGTAAGTACTCACTCAATTCCATTTCCATAGAAGGGTGGCTGCAGAATACCGGCGGGGAATGCTGGAATAATAGTTTTTGATCAGACAACGTATAATAAAAATGTCATCATAACGTCAGGGCTTACTCTTGAATCCAATTCAAATCGATCGACATTGGTATTGTGAAATTTCGTACTCTTGAGTTGCAACACTAGCGCCCATTGCATCCGTATTGCGTGGATATTTAATTAATTTAAATCGTATTGAGTTTGGCTTTATATTCCGTACTCTGCATGCTATTTTAACAGCGATAGGGGTTGTGTAGTTTTGACATGAATGAATAATGAGTGAGATTTTATTGGATTAAAATTGTATTGACATTGAGATTGGTTTCAAGAGTAAGCACCCTGGCGTTTAATAATAGAATAGAATAGACTAATTAATTTGCATTGAATGTAGATACATAATATAAGGTCTTACAAAGGTATATCATCCCTGGTACATTCTACCATATGGCATGCAATTTTTTTTTATTTACTAAAGAGATAGGAAGAGGAGCACAAGAATCTAATGCCATAAACCGAATACAGTTTCAACTCCCGTGATAGTAAGAATTTTGGAAAATATCAAAATACTACGATAGATAATTCTAAAGTGGGTAAGGATACTCACTGACTGAATTTAGGGTCGCAGAATAGAATGCATTAACAGTGGTAGCAGTGGCTACCCATCTGTTCCTGTCTGGCTTCTCTCGCAACGACTCCAGCGACTTCTTCACCGCTGCAAACGTGAGCTTCAGGTACGTATCGAACAAGTTGCCCTCCACTACCTCCGCCTGAAATCATAACAAGATATTTTTATTTAAAAAAAAACGTTGCCGCACACTAGGAATTTTGTCCTGTGTCGTGGGTGCGTTTACAAACATACAAGTTCACATACACATGACACCCAGACCCGGAACAACAATCTGTGGATCACACAAAGAGTTGTTCCGTGCGGTAATCGAACCCGGGACACGTTGCCCAGCCACTGCGCCAACCGTGCAGTCAATATAATAATATTGTAAGGTTGATAAATGTTTTGTAGGTTGAAATCTTTTCAATTATAGAGGGTCCGTTGGTCAGTTAGCTTAGTACGAATGAAGCACGACAACTTACAGTTAGACTCAATCATTTTTGATCTAAGTTAAACAGAGTGCTGACTTTTTTCGATACCATAATCTAGTTTGATTTCAAATCGAGGATTATTCAAGACCTCGTGCTAAGCATACAATTGCTTTAAAAGTAACTAGCAAACCCAGCGAACTCCGTTTCGCCACCAGATGGCTTCGTTTTATGTAACATTTCGTTTGGTGATTAAAATCGAATTTTCTTAGCTATAAACCTCATGGACCCCGAGACCTATCCAACGAATGCAAAACCGTGGAAATCGGTTCTTTCGTTCTGGAGTTATAGCGTCAGGAAGGAAAACCTGACTTATTTTTATATAGTAGATAAGAAAACGACTGACGTGTTTATAATGTTTATCAAGTTGTTCGTGAGTGAGCAGCCAGGCGGGGAAGCCGACGAAGTTGCGGATGGCCTTCAGCTTGTCCAGCGTCTTCAGCCGCGTGCTGGAGTCCATCCAGTCCAGGGATTCCACGGCTGCAGCGAACGCTTCACGCACGTCCTCCACCATCTCGATAGCCTGAAGGGAATTAGAAGCAATAGTTATAAAGAGGTCAACACATTTATCAAGGATAAAATTTTTTTTTATAGATTCTTCACTACCTACATAGTATAAAACAAAGTCGGTATCCGCCGTCTGTCTGTCTCTATGTATGCTTAAATCTTTAAAACTACTCAACGGATTTTGATACGGTTTTTTGCAATAGATAGACTGATTCTTGAGGAAGGTTTATATGTATAATACATGCATATTGCACCCGTGCGAAGCCGGGGCGGGTCGCTAGTACTTTGATAAAAAAAACACAAAGTTTTCTGATTTTTTAAAATTAAAATCGATGAGTTTTGGCTTGTATAGGTACTATAATAATTATGTATATTAAAACAGCAACAAAGTAAACTAACCGATTACAGTGGGTCACCTCATAATTGTACTACGACGTAGCACGTCTACGCCTACGATTGCTACGTCTGTCAATGGCGTAGCAGACTACGATTTGGCTACGCACTACGCCCCGCGTAGTTACAACCAAAAATGTTCTCTTTGAGAGGTCATTATTTTGAGGAAAATACGAAGATTACAATTAATTAGAGATCACACTCGTAATATTGTTTAGACGAATTAAAACATGGTTTAGAATAGTAATAATTTGACGAGAAACTCGACTAGTTTCAAGCCATGCTAAAGGCTCATATTCATGAGCAGCATTTAGCGACCCGCGACGCGGCAACTGTCGCACTGCTACTATAATAATTACGTGAGTAAGTCGAAAACATAATAATTAATTTATATTATATTATTAATAATTAATTTATATGATTTAGAAGACTGCCTCGTTGGCCGAGTGGTCGCAAGTGCGACTGCCGGGCAAGATGTCTCGGGTTCGATTCCCGGGTCGGGCAAAGTATTACTGGGTTTTTAAATCTTAGTAGTAGCACGGAGTCTGGAAATGTGCCCAGTATATGGCAATAGGCTCACCCCCTATTACATGGGACTCATAACATAAATAGTGAAAAGTGGGTGTTACATTGTACAGTGGCATAATGTGCACCTCTGCCTACCCCTTGGGGGATAAAAGGCGTGATGTTATGTTATGTAATTTAGAGTAGTTCAACTTGCCTTCTGGCGACTGGTGTAGTCGAAGTGCTTCTTGACGTACAAGTAGCTGAGCGCGACCCCGAAGTTGGCGTTGACGTTGGCGGTGCAGCTCTTCCAGCGCGGCGTGCGCTGCTGCAGGCCGAACACGGCGCGCGAGAACTCGAACCCCAGCTCGCGGAACGACCGCAGCGTCATCGGCGCCACCGTCGAGAACACGCTCCACCACAGGAAACGTTCTGGAATGAGATTTATTGCTATACGACCACAACAAGATGTCTAAAATCAGAGTAATGCCGGAATACTGAAACGAGTCGTGCTTAAATATCGTGCCATCTCTGTCATTTTACAAAGAATTTGTTGTGACAGAACTTAAAATTGAGTACGTTTGAGTATTCCGACATAAGCTCGTCAATTTATGTCAGGAATAAAAGAAAATGGAAAGGTGATGTATAAGTATCGTTTTCCTAATCTAGTAAATGTAAAACTGTTTATGATAATGTAGCAAGTACTATACTAAATACAAACTAATGAAGCTTCCACCCACAAGTTTACCCAAGAACTATTATCACAAATTAAGACCGTTTATTAATTCGACTGCCTCGTTGGCCGAGTGCCGGCCGAGGCCGGGCAAGAGGTCTCGGGTTCGATTCCCGGGTCGGGCAAAGTATTACTGGGTTTTTAAAAAAATCTCCATAGTAGCACGGAGTCTGGAATTGTGCCCGGTATATGGCTATAAGCTCACCCCCTATTACATTGGACTCATAACATAAATAGTGAAAAATGGGTGTTACATTGTACAGTGGCATAATGTACTCTGCCTACCCCTTCGGAGATAAAAGGCGTGATTTTGTGATGTTATGTTATTAATTCGGACAGAAGTATCTGAGTTAGTCACTGTCAGACAAATGTCCAGAATTGATGTCATAACTATGTAATGAATGTAAAAGACATGTCAAATAACAAATCTTACCAACAATAACAGGCTTGGTGTCGACCAGCAGCACGGACAGTTTCTGCAAGTAGGGGAGGTCCATGACGATGACGCGGTCGGACTGCGGCTGCAGCGCCACGCTCGTGTTGGAGAATACCAGCTGCAGGTACTGCTCCCAGTCGTGCTGCATAGCATACAAATATAATAAATTAAACTGTCAAACACCAAGCGGTCACCGGTGACCGCGACCTATTGTTCTTTAATTGTGTCTATAAAACCGGTACTCGACGAGTTAAAAAACCGACTTCAAAAAACCAAAAACTAATAACAAACAAAAAGTCAAAACTAAAAAGCAGAAAATAACTATTATTAGTACTGATAGGTTACCCACCCACTGATAGGTAAGAAGTCGGTGCCATAAGTTCTATACAAAATTATTGATTAAACCTTAATAGATACCTAATTCACAATTTTGTGGACATTAAGTTGAAGTCGGTAAAAATCAATACCTACTACCTAAGGTTCAAATTTTCTTTACTCTGACGGAGTAAGCCAATGTATTCTTGCGATGTTTAACTATTTCATAAATAATATTGAATTGAGACGATCCTTTCTTCTTCTGCCGTCGCGCCGTGTATAAGAAAAGTCAGTTACTAGAAGACCAACTAGTTAAAAAAAGGCCCAGCAAATGTATAGTCTTAAGAAAATATGTAGGTAGGTAGGAAAATACATCGGTACGTCTCAGAAACTTAATTACAACTCACATTAAGATTGAGGGATAATCAGCTTGAATGCATTGTTATTTTGTAAGACTGTTACCTGTTTCCACTGTGCTGGCCCACCGCTGGAGCCCTGGATCAGTTGCTGTACGCTGACCTCGTGGAACAAGTGAGTACCACTGCGACGAACCTCTACTGGTGTCATTATCTAAGTACAGAGTCTAAGATTAGGAAGTTGGAAGGATACGATTTATAAGAGTAGATCTTATTAATTTCACCTAGTAAAACATCAATTAAAAACAACGTAACATCCACTTCTCTCCTGTTATAGACGAAAATGAATATCTTAGAATGCAATAATATTTTTCCTGACCACTCGACCAAAGAGTTTGATTAACTGCAAGCAAAAACGCGCTGAAGATTATAATTCCAACTGACCTTAGCCAATTTCTTGCTGAACTCGACAATATCATCAGCAAACTGTTCTGCGTCGGTCTCGTTGTCAGCGATATTGATCATGGACTTGATGTACTTGTGGTACTGCGCCAGCTCGTGCGAGAACTGCTCCGGCTGCAGCAGGTAGCGGTCGCTGAACCCTGGGGATACTTGCTCGATCTGGAAATGAAGGGGTACTGTGGATCACTGTGCATTATCATTAGGTGCAACACTAAAATAACTGAAGTAGTAGCAGCAGGCAAATCAATATTGATTTAAATAATCTTCAATGGATTTTTGATTTTATTCCCAAACAATAATATTATGCATAAATTTGCTTGTCTCTGTCTGATATTGAATGTCAATTAAACAGAGTCAAAAATATAAAACATACCACGACACGGTTCCTGCTGGTATTCCTAACATCCTCAGCGACCTGCACGCTGAGTAGCACGTTCAGTCCCAGGTTCCTACGTCCTTTACCCGCTACTGCCTCCCACGTGAAGTTAGCAGTCATCTCTGTTGGTGGCCGCGGTGGAAGACCCAACTTCTGCAGGATTTTTTGAATCGGCTTGATGCCGTCAACTTCTAGTCTGTCTGTAATATTAGAAAGTAATGGTATCTTAACTGACTGCCATGATACGTGTGCTTAAGTGTAGTTTATACAATTGGCTATCACTTTTACTAACTTCAAAATATTTCGACGATTTTTCCATAATAATGGTTGATGAAAGTAATCTGATCAACTGAATTTAACAATGCCGTTTAAATGGCAATCACACGAAAAACATTTCCAAGTTGAAGTGACTGTATAATTATTTTAGTTTATCAAGAAAAACTATTGTAATAAAACATTATCTTAAAAACTTACCAGTATTAATACAAGTCCTATATAGACTCTTGGCTTTCAACACGCTCTGTGGCAGTCCCTCATCGTCCTTGGCTTCAAGTAGATCCCTGAGATCGGTGACCAGCTGTTCTCGAAGCTTCGCCAGCTGGTCCCAGGAGGTGGCCCAGTCTGGCACAGGGTTCTGTTTGATCCAGCCTCCGCACGCAAACTCGTAGAAGTCAGTACAGGGATCCACATCTTTGTTTAAGGCTTGCAGGATCCGTGAAGCTAAGGAGGAAATATTTTAAATATAGCTTAGATGTATAGACAATATCAATCCAAACTCTACACATTAATCTAGGTCTTTGATAGAACTATGAAAAATCGAAATGTATATAAACAATTGAAAGCTGTTGTTAATTTATGCCGTTAATCACTACCGAGTATTTAAAATATTTAATTCAAATTATAAAGGCCGCTAATAGTATACAATGTCGCAAATAGAGAGGGGAAATCAGGAAGCTGGCTAGCTTTCTCCTCGAATGCATATAAAATCATAAATATGCGCAATATTTAATAACAACAGGATTATATAAGTAGATAACGCCTGCCGCTCGAGTACCGACAGATGGTGCAGTAAATACAATTAACTTCTTGGATAATTATTAGAGTAATCTAGATGATCGTTTACATAGAAGTATGGAGCGTAAACAACGTTGCAATATAGATAGAAATTATCAAAATATTACCTATATAAAAAATCTAGATCTTCAAACTAAAATTCACAAACCTGTCTCCTGAATAGTTTTGGATCTTTTTACAAGATCATTGTCCGATCTAAGTTTCGAATCAATCTCAGTATAAACAAATCCGTTATGCAGTACACCAACAACAATAAACAGTAGAACTTTTAAACTAAGACTAGAATTAAATAAATATAAATCCATTGTATAATCTTTGTAGTACGATAGCAAAACACAATCTAAGCGATGGCGTCTAAGACTAATGTTTTTATTGATGCAAGAAAATAATTTAAAATTCATCAAGAAACGACATGGTACTTATTTTGCATCTTTTGCTATCCCCAACACGTGCATACTGTATTACGTAGCTACAATAAGTTGGACATCAAGTGCGTCTAAGTTTTAAGTGAAACATAATGACAAAGAATTAATTCATATGTAGCAGACTGTGTCACAATTTTCACAAGTGTCGCAGTTATCCCTAACACGTGGATTGCAAAATAAGTGATGTAAGAATTACATGGGGTGAAATCATAACATGCGTTTTATTTTTAAATGTATGCGACAATTTATAGTTATTATTAAAGGGCTAAATGCGTTGTTCTTTGAACATGGAGTAATTTAATCAGTACCTTACACGTTAGTTTAAATTACGTAAACAAAATACGTAGGCACAATATTATTTATGCAAATTATGGTGATGCCCATCCTATATGTTATGGTTATGTATTTATTGATATCTATTATAGGCAATAGGTACTTAGATATTGAATTGTATCATTGGCACAGAGTTAAGCGATCGACTAACAAGTTACTTTTTGCGGGTTGCATTCTCGCATGGAACAAACACGTATTTGTACTATAATAGATACAAATTACGCTGGACCTAGATACGTATGTATACGATTCATTTGTAAATATACACCCAAAAGAAATAGATAACAGCGCGCATTTACGTAAGAGGCAGTATTGATTACAGCTAATCGCTTGTATAATTCAATTAACTTTAAACTGGTTTGAAATCAAAACCTAGTATTTTTCTTCAATTTCCCTAAGTTACGCAGATATCTGTAATTAGGTACTAGAACATAGTTTTCTGCCATATTTAAACTGTCCTAATAATTTAAATTAAGATTTAAAATAACTATAATTAAGAACATCTTATTAAATTGAGATTTTGGGCTCTGTAGAACAATGTAACTAACATTTAAATTATGAGAACATTCCTTGTAATAGGGCCTAAAGAACTAAATAGCTCTATTTGTTGTCTTCGCTCATTTCTAAAGACAAAGACATGTTAAAACTAATTACAAAGCGATAGACATCTAATCTAAAAGGATGTGTCTACAACATTTGCATATGCAAATGTATTACTAACGTATTGTGAATGAGACGCCTAATTACTTTAACATAGCAATAACATGCAGATTAGTAATTATGAGTGATGGATATATAAAAAAACGAAGGCATCCTTCCGTGAAGAGCATTCTGCGGTTGGTATTAATATTATTATAGTGATATGTTGATTAGCTGTTAGAGTAATTAAACTATTAAACTAATAAATTATATATAAATGCTATAAATTATTATATTGCACGTGTGGCGACAAATGTTATGGAAAATCTATGGTAAAATGTGTTAATCTCCATCATTTTACCATAGCATAGTAATTTGTTTACTTGTGACTTTATTTTTTTGTAATTTATCATGGCGGGATGTTTGTGTGGATTGTTTATTTGTTGTTATTCAGCATAATTAGCGCATGTTAAGAATTAATTAGCTACTTATAAGGTAAATATACAGATGCATGTAGGTGAGTCATAATAACGTTCAGAAGGTATTAGACCTATCCTAACACATTGAATTTATTTTATTTATTTATTTATTTTACACTTTATTGTACACCATAAAAACATACATAAAAAAAAACAAACATAAAAGAATGTGCACAATGGGCGGTCTTATCGCAGAATGCGATTTCTTCCAGACAACCTTTGGATGGAGCCAGTATTCAGGAGTTTGAAAAAGGGGGTCGTCTAGTGTACAATAATTAAAACAATACATACAATATAATACTATCTATACATACATACCAAATAAATAATATATAAAATTAAAATAGATATAACTACTATACATAAGTGAGTGAAATTTAATGGGATGCTTTTTTTGGAATGTGTTACAAAATATTTTTTTGTGGATCTGTTAATCTAGACGAGTCTCTGGATTGAAGAACCTGAATTTTATAAACCTTTACCTACCTTTTAACTCATCTTTGCAGCAGCTAGCTTCATAGACTCACTAAGTAATTGATTGAAATTAATCATGAAGAGGCCTACGTTGAGTAGTGGACGTGTAGTGGCTGATCCTTACTTATATTATAAATCGGAAAGAGAGATTTCCGATTTCACGCCGTAACTACTAAACCGATTGCTTTGAAATTTTGCAGATGTAAAGTTAGAAGTCTGGATAAATTAATAGGGTATTTTTTATCCCGAAAAAATTTGATATTCCCGAGGGAAAACAAAAGTATTGGTATAGATGGCGCTGTATGTATTTGTATATGTCACATAGGCTACTTTTTATCCTTTTGTGGCGCGAGCGATGCCGGGGGTAAAAGCTAGTTAAATAAAAAGCATTCTAACTCACCAGTTCCAACGCACTGTTCACTGAGACAAGGCCTCGGACTCCGGTACTCAGTGAGCACCAGCACCGCTGTGTATATTGCTAGCGCTATCAGGGAGATGCCCAGCGCTCCTATCAGCACTGATGAACATCGTACTGTGCGTTCTCTGGAAATAAAGACAAATAATATTATTTTATAATATGTGGGTAACATTAAGCAATGTTAAGTTCCGACCTGTCTGGAAGTCATTGGGGGCACATAGGACTATATTCAGCAGTGGACGTCCTATAGCTGATATGATGATTAAGCAGTGTAAAGAGGAACGTGTAAATTATGTCACTACACGACCAGCGCATTGACTAGGTTTGGACTAGGAAGGATTTTTTAGTGATCTACAAAATAATGATGAATATATGAAACATGTAAAACGTAAAATAGGTACCTACTATTCAGAAGTTACGTTGTAAACATAAATTATAAGAAGGAATCATAGGCACGCGTTATTTACTGTACTGAGAAAAAATATGCCTGGCCTGAAATCGATCCTTGTACTTCTCGTGCTAGGAGACATAACATCACGCCTTTTATCCTCGAAGGGGTAGGCAGAGGTGCACATTATACCACTGTACAATGTAACACCCACTTTTCACTATTTATGTTATGAGTCCCATGTAATAGGGGGTGAGCCTATTGCCATATACCGGGCACAGTTCCAGACTCCGTGCTACTACTGAGATTTTTTTTAAAAACCCAGTAAACTTTGCCCGACCCGGGAATCCAACCCGAGACCCCTTACCCGGCAGTCGCAATTGCGACCACTCGGCCAACGAGGCAGTAATTTTATTATCAATAGGTATTTTACTAATAACGGCTATAAAAGTTCCAATACGTAGCATACAGTTACTAGGTTAGTATTAACAATTTAGTAATTACCTACAGTACCATGAAGAGTAGGTATTAAGTTACATACATGGTGAGATTGCTTTCTCTACACGATAGATAATACGTAGCGCCGTGTTTCCTATAGTTTAGATTCGTATCAGACACGCGAACTTAGTGTATCTAACAAATATTTTTTTTTACTAACAATTTGTTCCTTATAAATTCATTAGGACAAATCGACAGACAGAGTTGGGTCATTAAAATTTTCAAAAGACAAAATTTATAGGGTATTCTTTTATGGGATAAGTCGGTTCCTAAACCACCACCTCTTGGATACCTGGAACACTAGAGGCGTTACAAGATTACCAGCGTTTTGGGGATTAGGTTGAACGTAATGATATTTAAATTGTAACACTTAAACTGTCAAACACCAAGCGGTCACCGGTGACCGCAACCTATTGTTCTTTAATTGTGTCTATAAATACGGTACTCGACGAGTTAATCTGTAATTATTCTATTCTGTTAGTTTCTTATGACTTATTTCTATTGATTTTATTATTTCATTGTTATTGATATTATTAGTGCATCTTGACATTTCCTTATAGATTTATTGCAAAATTAATTAATATTTGTACACCGGTCACGGTTAAGCATGTTGATACCAACAATACTGTACATCTATAGTAAACATTCATTTTTGCATGTATTATTGTAACCTACACATGTTTTGGCAAATAAAACTATCTTTATCTTTAGGAATTAGGATTGTTAGGGATTCAGGGATTGGGGAGATTAGGAAAGGGTCATTGGTTTTCTGTGAGGCCGTGGTATCAATCCTGTCTAGCTGGACCATTCATGCCGAAGCATGACTCTCCCACACTTAAAGGCTGTTATTTAGCGTTCATATTAGTAACGATAGTTCAGATGATCTGAATCATACAATTTCATCAACATGTATTCTTCAGTTTAACGGTGAAAGTGTAACAAACAAATAACTTTCGTATTTAAGATACTTGTATTAATTGGCCTTGTAGTGGTAATAAAGGATCCAGTTTATTATTTATTGCGTATAAAGTGAGAAGTAAAGGCCAAAGCCCTCTTTCTAGAAATAAATTAAAAACTAAAAAAGAAGCAGAAGATACTTGCAACCTCTCGTTACCAATGAATGTCCTTTCTTAATCGTTGGATTGAGATCAATTACGACATTAGTTACCTAGGTGAGTATATACAGAGTTTCAATTAAAAATAGATTTAAATTTATTGATTTAGATTTAGATACGTAAATGCAGTAATATACGCAAGTAGACATATACCTCTACATATATGTGCCTACATACATTACACAAACATACAATACAGTCTCTTAAGATCTTAGAGGGTTATTTTCAGAAAGCCACTACAATAAACAAAACACATGATTGTGTTTCTTTTTTAAAACAAGGCTTAAGTGAATCCACACCTGGGTTTTGCCTATATCGTGAGTTCGTGTACAAAAACGATAACTTGTAGTTATCGTTTTCACGATCACACGCAGCCCGAAACAACAATTGGGTATTTTACTCAATCAAAAGTAAACATATTTCGACTTTTCATAATATACATATAACATCACGCAAAGCTGTACATAAGGTACAGAACTTAATTCCACTGTACAATGTAACACCCACTTTTCACTATTTGGGCACAATTCCAGACTCCGTGCTACCACTGAGATTTTTTAAAACCCTGTAGTAGTTGGCTCAACTAGAATCGAACCCGAGACCCCTTGCCCGCAGTCGCACTTACGACCACTCGGTCAACGAGGCAGTCGATTTTTCAATTCAATAAAATGTCCAAAAATAATGTACGATGAACTTTCTAGCTATTTTTGGGAAAAAAAAATATCAACTATCAATTTATTAGTAGGCAATATCTTATTTGGTTGATATCCTGCAGGTCAGCAGGTAGTAAAAACAATATTAATGTATCGATTATAATATCCGCACTGCAATGCAATCTGTATGGAAATTTCACCGACACATAAATTATTATACGTAGGAAGTTATGACTTCATTCTTATTAATCCTTATGGTACAAGTTACAGATCTTTTTTTGCAATACCATTTACGTTTAAGAAAGAACCCATTGGTGCCGCTCTAAAACAGTGGCGTATCTACAGGGTGGTAAGTCCGGAAAATGCCACGGGCCCCAGCTGTCAAAGATCTCCGTTCAAAGGTTTTTATCTAAACCTTTCTGTTTTTATTGGGAATAAGCGGCCATCTGATTAATTTGCCACGTGAGCCGAAGGGTTACGCCACTGCTACAAAACGCTTTTCACTATATATGTTATGAGTCCTATGTAATAGGGGGTGAGCCTATTGCCATATACCGGGCACAATTCCAGACGCCGTGCTACTACTGAGAATATTTAAAGACCCAGTAATACTTCGTCCGAACCGGGAATCGAAACCCTAAGATAAAAATACCCCTTGCCCGGCAGTCGCACTTACGACTACTCGGCCAAAGAGGCAGTAAATTTTTTATTAACATTTTAGGTATTGGAAAATTCCTTGTATGCTCTTGTCCATAGATATAATAAAGAATTAATATTTCTGTGCTCTTGTCCTATGACTCACGGGAAGGACTGTGGCACGAAGCATAGAGTAGACAGTCTTTTTGACCGCAAAACAATAAATAAACAGTGTGTTTGGGCGGTCTTTTTACCTTCTATTTGGGCTTTGCCCTCTATCATGCGTTGGATTTCTTTTGCACGATATCGTTCGCGGTCAAACTTCCCAACTGTACCACACAAAAGTTTCTTATCTACGCCCTGCCTGCCCCCTACTGAGTGTAGAGGTCTCGGATAGATGTGACGTATGATTACAAAATACTACCAATACTTGAAATATTAAGTTCAAAGGAAACATTGTAGATATAAAACTAGTTTAAAATAAGTTACAGTTTTCCTGGAATAATTTTCTAATGAAGAAAGTTTTTCCCCTTCCAATATCATCTGGTTACAAAGCCTGTTAATACCTTGTAAGCGTAATGAATAATGTATTTTATTACTAGAGTGATATATCTTATAATCACTATGCAAGGCCTAAGTTGCACATGGTGCAGAAATCGAAACTGTACGCAGCGAACCATTGACGCTCATTCATATTATAATCTTACGCAATGACATTGACAAAATAACATATATTATTATTATAATCGTGTCAAAGAGGTAGTATAATCGGAAAGTACAAAGTCAAAGTTAAAATGAAGTTCAAGATACTTATTTCAATTAAACCACTAAAAAGATTCGTCCGTCAGTCTGACCACCAGCTAAGCTCATTCCAAAATGTAGTTTCGTATCTAAGCTCAAAGCTCATTTTTGTTATACTAAATTGTTTAATTTCGTCATTGTTATTTAAATGATTTTCACAATCATGAGTGCATTACTATAATCCCTTCAATAAACTCATAATTTTATATCGCGTCACTGTTCGGATCTCTTCCGGCGCGCCCGCGGCTGCGCAGGCGCGGAACTCTCAACCAATAACAATTGCCATCGGAACAGTTTCACTTTTCCCCTCAAACATCGGAGGAAGTTCTTGCAAATATGACAAATGATACTCTTTAACGTGTAATCTTGTAAGACCTAGCAAGAACCAATAATATCGTATTCCATAGATGATAATAATAGTTTTTTACAGTCATTTTGTAACAAGCTTTTGTATACAAATTAAGAATTGAAACACGTAAGTTTACGCTACATGTATTTTGATTAATTGTCATGCTGGCTCGGTGGTCTAAGACACCCGCTTCTCATGCATGAGGGTTCGAAACCTACCAATAGCAAGTACTAATGTGACTTTTTCCGAGTTATATGTTCTTTCTAAGATTATTTCGACACCACTGACTAACGGTGAAGGAAAAACATCGTGAGAAAACCTGGACTTATAATTTCTAATTATAAGTTTCAAATCGCCAACCCGCATTGAGCAAGCGTGGCGACTAATGCTCAAACCTTCTCCGTGTGAGAAGAGGCTACAAGGCTATAGTTAGTACAATATTTACTGTACCTACAGAATTACCATGACAAAAATGAAACAACACCTTGTCTAAGGCTTATTATCCATTATAAGTTATGATAAATAAGACACAGTACAAAACTATAGAAATCAAATCACTATATCACTAAAAAACCTTACTGACGAAAGGTGTGACTGACATCAAGCTCACAATGAACCATTCAGACAGAAATATGAGTAACTGTCCAAACAACTAAACACTACTAACTTACTGCATACAGTTGTC